ATCTTTCGAAGATAGACTTGGAAAGATCGGTTACATGAAAGGAGGACAAGTTACAATGGGTTGGACCTTGTAGACTATAACCGACATGAATCCCGGAGCAAAAATCCATTTCGATGATCAATGGAATTGAAACAAAGCTAGCTCGAGGTGTTTTTCTCATTATTATTTTTAATATTTATTTATGCTTCCATTTATTTTACCTTGATCGTTATTTTTTTTACTTTCATTTTCTTTATCTTATTCACGCCAACCCCCTTTATTTTTATTTATTTTTGTTACAGTTTCCTGGATTGAAATCGACACGAAATTGCATCATAAATTACTAAGTTCCTGTGGATCGACCCTCTTTACTATACTACCTATTTATTTTATTAATTTGAAGAGGATTATTTTATTTTTGATGAATAAACCGACGCATGTCACTAAGAGACTAAGGTAACACATTCACAACTCTTTCATACCAATTGTGAGTCATTAGAATGCATTCTAGTTAGAGAATTGAGTTATGAAGCATGATTGAGCATCTATGGTAGATTCCATGTTTTTCCCTTTTTAGCATGTCCTAAAGCCTTTTTATGACCTTTGTATCACACATAAGATTTTAATAATGTTTGGGGACGTCAGTATGGTATCTTGGGTAACTTTGGAAGTCAAATTCGTGCCAAAATAGGGCATTTCTAGGTTTGGGTATGGGTACTAGAAGAACATTACTAATATTATTCTTGCGAGGAACAAAATGAGGGAACTTTAGTATAGGATTATCGATACTCTTTCATTGAGTATGGATACCGTAGGGCCAATTTCGAGACTCACGAGAGGGGTATTGAGATAGATTTTCCAGTAGCCAATTTTGGTATTCATACTAACGAAGAGTATCGATACTAAGGGTAGAGTATTGATACTCCCAATAAGAGTATCAATACCAAGGTATTTTTCAAAAACATCGATCCCAAATTTAGTATTGATATTCGGAATGGTATCGATATCGTAACTTGGGAGTATCAATACACTATTTGAGAGTGTTGATACTATCATTTTTACTCCAGTTGAAATTAGCCGTAGAGTATCGATACAAGGTGGAGTATCGATACTCAAGAGTTAGTATCATTACCGAGAGGCCTAGTATCGGTACCATCGTACATTTTAGGGCAATAATTTCAAGGGATTTACAAAAAGTATTGAGGTACCCAAGGACTTCATAATTACTCTCAAATAAAACTACAAGTGAGAAACATGATAATAATCAATTAAAGCTATAAACAAGGATCATCTAGGATGATATAAAACTAGCATTGGTTGATGCTCGGGAAACAATCAGGACACCCGAGTTACTTTAGTAAATGATATTGGTTTTGAGAAATATAATTGTCCGGATATCCTTAGGTAGTGCGCGAGGCACTTTAAAATGACTAACTAGGGCACAAGGCCCGAACACTTACGAGGGGTGGGTTAGTCGGGTGTTGTGTCTGATGTAGAGATTTCAGATCTCACCCTAATTAGACTAGAGGTGTGTGTCTTGAGATGTGTAACCCTCTAGCCACACCATGATTTACCCTAGAGTGCACTCGATAGCATAAGCATTTAATGAACATTCTTAGTATGATTTAGTTGTTAGTGTGACACTAGACTAATGAGCTCAGTATTCGAAATTTGTTTCCTTGTGCAGGTATTTAGGAATTTCCAATTCCGAATTCCCTGCATATATGAACACATTTAGATAGACATTCACACGGTTTGGCTTGCACCGGTGAAGTTAGTAATGGTTGGTAAAATGAGTCTCAAAACTAGGAGATGAAAAAGGACTAGTAGGGTTATAGTTTGGATTTGAAGTTAGTTTTTTATTCTTTTCAATTCTACCATAGGATATCTTCATCGCTCCGATAGATACACCAGCCAAGAATCGAATCTGGATATGTATTGTCGTAGGATACTATTCTATCACTAGACCACTAGTGCTTCATTAAAGCAGAAGTTTAACATATTCTATTTCTCCTTTTTTGTGAATGCGTTATCAATTTTGAGTATCGCCTTAGATTTAGATGAAAGAAAATAGAGTAATTTACATTGCGAGTCACTGGAGTTAATATCCGTTTTTATATTGGCCATAAACCTTTAATTTAATTTAATTTTATTTTGATTTTCATGTAAAATAAGAAAATTTTAATTGATCGAATTACAACTTTAAAGATAATACCATGAATAAATTATGTCATCTAAACTGGGGATGTCTAAGGTACGACAGAGCTAATATACGGTTAAGAAAAGGTTCTACCGGAAATGTTAATGTTTTTTTAACATTTCCGGTAAATCGCTACCTAAAACATTATTTTTTTACCGGAAATGTTAATATTGGACGCTACCTAAATTGTTATTTTTTCTACCGGTTTTTCTACCATAAATTAGGTAGCGAAATTAACATTTCGGTAGAAAAAATAATATTTTAAGTAGCGTTTTATCGGAAATATTAAAAAAACATTAACATTTCTGGTAGTGCATTTTTTTAGCCGTATATTAGGCTGCCGTATGGCATAACTATCCTCTAAACTGAATCCATTAAATAATTATAATATGAAAAATGATATATCATGCTTAAGCAAAATTTTATGTTATTGTTCACTATGGTACTATTCTATCACTAGCGACTCGTGCTTCTTTGATCACGTTTTTTAATAAGAAATTTACGTTCAATTAATATGTTATTTATTTTAGATTGATATTCTGTACAGATTTCAAAGGATATAACATAAATTTTCTAGCAAAATTTTAATGATTTACTTCTTCAATTAAAGCAGCTGATAACAAGCAGAAACCTGCAACAATGATACTGCTCTTAGTAGAAGAAACAACAGTGTTCAGCTGATAAACAGCCTGTTTGATAATCGCACAGCCCTAATGATTTGCTTTTATTTTGGTAATGCAGGCTTCTGCTTTCACTGATCTCTTTATGTATGTATCCGAAACTTAATACTACTCACCGATACGGACTTATAGCTATGGTTTTAGTTGTTGGAGAGTCCAATCACCCAAAGCCTCATATTCTGCTTCAGACTTCGCCTTCATGGCTAATTCAAGTTGAAACCTTGCTTCCCTTTGGTGGTGTGTTACCAAGCTTCCAGTGCATTTGACTTCAACCCTGTGGCAGAAGATAGCCAGACACCTCATTTCTGGGAACCGCGTCCGAGATTTCTTTCAAATATAAACTCTTGTTTTCATCCAAGTTCTTTACTTGAAACATTGGGAAATGTGGCTTCAAAGTAGTTGGCAATCAGTTTACTATGCAAAGGTTTAAGGATCCTAAAGACAAATAAGTTAGTCCCCATACCATAAAACTATTTGCAAGCCAAGTTTCCACCAAAGAGATAATGGTTGATAATCGAAGATGAAAATAATGGTTTCACTGATCGATGAATTCCTTTAACAAGACAATAACAATAACAAAAGCATGAAATCATATCAATGTGATCCGCAAAACCGGGAAGCAGCTGCCATTGAGATTGAAAATATAAAGAGTTTGTCCAAGCATGTACCTTTCCAACCAAAATTTTATTAGTTTTGGGTCCATAGATATCTGATGTATCAAAGGATGTGGTTCATCTATCGAAATTGTTCTCGATAATCGATATGCCAACATCTTCAGGAACAGGATCATTTTATGCTCCACTAGGCCCCATACAGCCATACCCCAACTTTGAAACCTACCCAAAAGAAAAATCATGGATCTTAATCCAAAATCTACAGTGCAAATCATCAGTTGAACCAAAAAAGGAGGATCAGTTGTAAAAATGATAAGAATTAAGGGCATATGTGCAACTCAGAAATAATTTTTCCCTCGACTACTATAAGAAGAGAAAAATCTAAATTAAGTCCTTGACTTTCCTGTTTCACACTAGGAATCTCAATACTCTAGTGCTCTTCAGCCATCTTTTGATCTTTTTTTTTTTTTGTTCTTTCTTTTGTTAATGACCGAGGACGACTATTGTAAGTGTTATCAGGCTTATTAAATCCAGAATCTTCATCCTAGTTGTCTTAAACTCTTGATTTTTCAAGTTGTTTCTATAGTAGGTTTAAGTATAGATTAAGGTCATAACTGGTTGAGTTGCCATACCAGAGTCCAGAAAACTAATTTCAGGCACCTTTTGGAAATTGCCTTACTGTCAAAGAAACCACAACACAGACATCTCAAGACATCTCAAGACAGAAAGGTAAACCAGTTACAGTATGAAACAAGGAAAATATATGACTATGGTATTATGCATGTGCGGAAATAATTTTATGATCCTTTGAATTGCAGCAGTACGTAAATAAAAAAAGTAGCTCAGAGTAATTCGATTATGATCAATAGATCAGTTACAGTGATAACCCTACACACAACATCTTTTCATCATAGCTACACAAACATGCACCAGCCGGTAATCGAACCCGGGTCTGTGCCGTGGCAGGATACTATTCTACCACTAGACCACTGGTGCTTCGTTGGAGATGTAATTTAACATGGTGTATATGTCGTTTTCTATATTCGTGTTATCAATGTTGATATAACCCTGGGATTTAGATGAAAGAAAATAGAGTAATTTACATTGCGTAGTTAATATCCGTTTTTACATTGTCCGTAAACCATTAAATTTAATTACCAAGTTTAATTTCAATTATAACGTAAATTAAGAAAAATTTAATTGATTGAATTACAACTTTAAAGATTATATCATGAATAAATTATGTCATCTAAATTGATTCCATTAAATAATTATAATATAAAAACTGATTTATTGTGATTAAACAAAATTTTATGTAATTATTCACCATGGTACTATTCTACAACTAGGCTACCGATGCTTCCTTTACCATATGTTTTGATGAAAATTATATGTTCGATTAATGATTAATTTTCTTACAAAATTAATCATTTATTTCTTCAATTAAAGCAGCTGATCACAAGTAGAAACCTGCTACAATGATACTGCAGGTGGTAGCAGAAACAACAGTGTTCAGCTGATAAACAACCTGTTTGATTATCACTCACAAAAATCATACAACCCTACTTATTCGTTTTTATTTTGGTAATGCAGGTTTCAGCTCTCACGGATCCCTTTATTAAGGTATCCAAAGCTTACTACTACTCGTCGATGCGAACTTCTAGCTATGGTTTCAGTTGTTGGAGAATCCAATCACCCAAAACCTCATATTCTGCTTCAGACTTTGCATTCATGGCTATTTCAAGTTGAAACCTTGCTTCCTTTTGGTGGTGTATTAGCAAACTTCCAGTGCATTTGACTTAAACTCTGTGGCAAAAGATCGCCAGACACCTCATTTATCGGAACAGCGTTGGAGATTTCTTTCAAATCTTCTTCGGTGAGCTTTACTTTCAGTGAATCGATGTTACTATCAAGGTTCTTGATCTTGGTTGTTCCTATAAAACAAAGTGGAAGAACTAGTCAAAACTTTAGTCCTGGTGCTATTATCTAAACAAGGCGACATTTAGTATATATGCAAGTGTTTGGCACAAGATTTTCAGGCCAATTATGCTACTTCTGCAGTGACTTTCAGTTGAAATGTCCGCACGTAACTCACCAGGAATCGGTACTACGTCGTCCCCTTGATGAAGAACCCAAGCAAGTGCTAATTGTGCAGGGGTACATCCATGCTTCTCAGCCAACTTCTCGATTTTTGCATATAAGATCTTGTTTTTGTCTAAGTTTTCTCCTTGAAACCTTGGGAGCATAGACTTCAAAGTAGATGTTGGCAATCAATTTCCCATACAAAGATTAAGGATAGGTTAAAGACATAAACTCATTAGTTTCCATACCAGAAAACTATTTGCAGGCAATGTTTCCACCACTCCTCTGCCGCCAAAGAAACCGCGACCTATAGGACTATATGTAACGATTCCAATTCCAAGTTCCCTGCATGGATGAACACATTTAGATTGGCATTTATCGAACTTAGGAAACGAACAGAACATCGAAACTTAGTAAACTCTGCTTTGACTAAGTCTAAATGGTTCAAATACACAAACAAACCTGCAAAGGGGGACTATTTGTTCCTCGATATCACGAGTCCACAGCGACCACTCTATCTGCACAGCGGTTATCGGATGAACCGCATGTGCTCTCTTTATCGTCTCAGGGCTAGCTTCAGATAATCCTATGTACTTTATTTTCCCCTCTTCCACCAACTTCTTGAGTTCAGACATCTAAAGACATAAAGGCCCGCTATATGAGTATGGAACAAATTGAAGAGCTAATCATATGATGCTTTCAACTGCAGCACTTACTGTATCCTCTATAGGAGTATTGGTGTCAACTCTATGCTGGTAGTAGAGATCAATATAGTCCACATCCAGGCGCTCCAGGCTAGCCTCGATACAGGAACGAACATATTCGGGAGTACCGTTTATTACGACACCGGTTGCATCGAATTTTGCGATACCGAATTTCGTAGCTAACTGTACCTTCTCTCTTGGTAGCTGCTTCAATGCCTGGAAAAAAGGATATTGGTTACACAAGAACCATGATAGAAACATGAAACTACAAAGAAATTGTCCAAGCAAGTTTACCTTTCCAAGCAATATTTCATTAGTTTTGGGTCCATAGAAATCAGATGTATCAAAGAAAGTGACTCCTCGATCGAACGCATGCTTGATAATCGATATGCCGAGATCATCAGCAACAGGATCATTGTAAGCTCCACTGAGCCCCATACAGCCATACCCCAACTTTGAGACCTACACAAAAGAGAAAGAAAATGATTTTACAGATGAACTTAGACAAGCAGATCATGTATCTTAAGCCACAATTCAACAGAAAGACGAACAAAATCAAACCTCAAGTCCCTGAGTTCCCAGTTTCACTCTGGGAATCTGAATCTTCTGCTGCTGCTCGGCCATCTTTTGTTCTTTTTTCTTATTTCTTGTGTTAATGAACTGAGTTTTACTTGTTAGCAGAAGGGTATTATAAATATTAGGAGGCTTTACTTGATGATGACACGACTGTATATGTCATCCCATAGGTAATCCTCTTGACTATTTTTTTCGAGAAAATGTTCAAACTTATGCTTTGAAGAACTTAAAATATTAATAAGGACAAAAATTAGGCCAAAGTGGCGGAATAATCAAGTTATAAGATGGACGCCATTCAGCATTGTCAATAATGGCTGGCTGCTATATTTTACTTTATGTTGCTTCCACTTGGTGTGAATTTTAAAACATACATGGGTATATTTAATATTTTCCCAAATTTTCATAAGATATTGGGATTTTTTTATTACATTACTATTTAAAATGAAAAGTAGAATATATATATATATATATATATTCGTATATGTTCGTCCATTTATGTTCGATCGTTTATGTTCATTCATTTATGTTCGTTCGTTTATATTTGTTCATTTATGTTCGTTCGTTTATGTTCGTTCATTTATATTTAGTCAAATTTCTCTAGACTCATTTAAAATATTAAAACTCAATAAATTTTAATATGATACCCATAAATATTTTAAAATTCAATTAATTTTAAATACAAATAAAAAAAACTCAAAACAATTAAATAAAATATAATCCTAAATTTGTTAGGAAAGAAAAAAAATCTATTTTCATTTATGTTCATTTATTGTTTTCGTTTACGTTAATTTATTCTGTTCGTTTACATCCGTTCGTTTGTGTTCGTTCATTTATGTTCGTTTATCATTTACATGAACGAACACGAACAAGCTACATTCCTTAACGAACGAACATGAACAAGAAATTTTTTGTTTGTTTATATCCGTGTTCGTTCATTTGTTCAATTAAAGTTAAACGAACAAACATGAACATACCCCGTTCGTGTTCGTTCAGTTCGTTTATAGACCTATATATTATACATTCACTTATTGAATGTATTAAATTTTATATAAATAGTCATTAACATTGATACTACATTCAAAACTTTAAGTTCCGCCTCAGCTTTGAAGGAGACTCCAATATTGTCGTCAAGAAGCTTTTTTTCGAGTCATCGGATTTTTCAGAAATCGAGGCGATCATTGTTGAGATTCGAGGTCAAGCAAGGAGTTTGCATGTTTGTTCCTTCTGTTTCATTCTTAGAGATGGTAATCGGGTGGCACACTTTCTGGCGTCAGAGGCTTCGCTTGGAGATGCGGATCAGTTATGGATTGAGAAAGCCCTAGGGGAGCAGAGATGTTAGCCGCGGAGGACCGTCGATGGCTAGACCCCCTTAATCCCTTTCCGAGTTGGTTGTGCTTGGTTAAGGATCGATTTCTTTTCTTCTTTTCTCTTCCTGCGCAGAACTTTCATCGCTTCATCTTCCGTGACTTGTAGGAGAGTGAAAGACCCACCCTTTGTTTGCTCTCTTTGAGAGGACTCTTTTCTTTTTTATTTTTTTATTTTGCTTTAATAACTTATAGTTGGAACCCTTTAGCTTCTTTATTGTTTGTTTTGTTTTTCCAGACTGTTGTGGACCTTTGGTTTTTTCACGTGTTGCTTTATTTTTCTTGTGGAATAAAGTGTCGGCATTTCATGCAACTATCTTCCAATATAAAATTTTCTAATTCCATACTGATTTAGGATCATTTAATGAATTCAAATTGATCTTAATCATTAATTTATATGTATCTAACTATCTTCCAATAATGTAAAATTTAATATTTTTATACCATATAAATAGACACTAAAAGAATATAAAGAAATTCTTCTATTATACTGCAATTTGCAGAGAAATATAATATCTGCAAATTGCCAAATTGCAGCATCATCGAAGAACTTTGTATACTTTTGTCTTTTACAACTGGAGAATACAACCAATCCAATAACCATTTAGAATTGCCACGTTGACAACAGGATGGCCCTGGGCCCCAATTTTTGGAGTGTACTTCTTTTTGGTCCCTAATAATATTAAAAGTGAACAAATTGAACATTGCCCTTAAATTTATGGCTTAGATCTCTCTCTAAATTTCCAACAAATTCAAAATTAAATAAATTATACATCTTCTAATTTTTAAAAATTTAAATTGATAATTTAATTATCAAGACTTACAAAATTCCTTGTGTATTACATCTTTCATATCTGGTTTTCAGCTATAATTTTTTCTTTTGGATGAATTTACTACAAACTACCCTCAGAGGCCACAACACCTTAAAATGCCTATTATTTTGCTTCATCCAAATCATCGCAGTGTAACAATTTCAAACAAGGCGAAGCAAAGTTGATGACAAAGATCTCCCTTTCAACTGTCGATAAGCCCAAAAAAATTCCTCACTCCAATCTAGAGCACCTCTCGACAAATTGCACAGCCTCAACACACCAGCCCGAACAGCTTTAGTGAAACAACAAGTAAAGAACAAGTGATCCCTTGACTCCAACTCATTAGAACAAAACTCACACATCCCATCAATATGCAAACCGAAAGACAAAAGTCGAGCCTTGGTTGGCAGCCTATCTAGAACCGCCATCCAAGCAATCACAGAAAATTTAGGGACATGACCCAAGTGCCAAACGAGTCTATCCCAAGAAACTTTCTCACGATGCACTGTTAACTCATCCCAAATCATACGTAAGGAAGAAAAAGAATCTCCTAGCAAACCATGAATCATACTTGCCCTAACCCGAAGCTGTAAAAGACACCTCCAAGTCTAGTGACAACGCGACGTTTTCACTGTCAAATAAATTTATACTTAATCTCATTAAAAATAAATATAATAGTATAGGTAGAGTATGGGTCGATCCATATGGACTAAGGAAGATGCTGAAACGATTGTTCTTGATCTCTTATCTAGGCGAAAAATGCAAGTAAAGTAAAAAGGGGAGTTTGTTGAGAAATTGAATAAGCAAATAATGATTCAAAGGAAGATAAAGAATTGAAGAAAGTAAAATTAAAAACCAATATGATGAAATTAGCCTATTTTTCCTCCAGTTAAATGTCGGTTTGAGTCCGCAAGGTTCAATCCTTGTAGCTCATTTTCCTCTTTGGTGATTGACTTTCTCAAATCTATTTTAGGAATCACAATCATTGTTTGGATTAACTTCGACTATCGTTGTTAACTCAAAATAGTTTAAAAGTGTTTGGAAAACCCCGACTCGAATTATGTTTTTCTCTATGAAAGTTGAACTCGATCCCAATTTCCCTTGGCGTACCATTCGCTAAGTGTGTTCAAGGGAATTCAAATCAATTGATTCTATAATCTCAACGGTAAACCATAACGTCATCCAAGTCAAAATATATTTTTGAAGTGAAAGCGTTTTGATTTTAAGAAAGACTATCCGCCAATCTAATTTCCAGAAAATTGAGAATTTAACCCAAGAGGGTATGAGGTATTTTTTTATTCTCACGATTCAGAATCGAGTCGTCACTTTATCCTTTGACTATGGAAAACTTAGCTAAGTATGATAAAAATCATACTTAGCATTTTTTAAAAAGAAAACTTATAAAGAAAAATAAAAGAAGTAAACTTTCTAAAACTAAAGGAAAAAAAAAACAAGAGAATTGAAGATTGATTGATCTCAATGATGAATTGAGGCTTACCCTAATGGGGTATTTATAGTCCTCAAAAATCCTAAAAAATACATTTAAAATTAAAAAGATAATTCCTAAAATATAAATAAAATAAATCCTAATTTGAATTCAAAAATGCAGCTCAGTCTTTGGTCTTCACACTACTGCTGACTAGACATTCTAGAAGCTGCTGACTAGATGTCATATCAGCGAAGTCGTGCCCCAAGTCATGCCCACTAATCAGTCATGATTATAGAAAATAAAAAAATTGCACAATTTCATCAGTTTTAGCAACTTTTATGAAATATACTGTCATACATTGAAAATGAATGAAAAATCCAAGTTAAAAACTTAAAATAACTTATCAAGAAGTAATTAATCACAAAATAATGTATAATTTAAACACTAATCATCTAACTACATCCTTGGGAGCATGAAATCTGCCAAAAAGAATTCTTCACAACATACGCATGCACCCAAGCCACCCAAATAGACCCCTCTTTTAACAGCAACTTCTGAATCGAAAGAATACAGCAAGAATGATTCCAAACATTAAGATCCTTGAGGCTCAAACCGCCCTCGGACTTGGGACTACAAATAGACGACCAACTCACCCTTGCCCCCTTCATCGGCATATCATCACCCTTCCCAAAAAAACTGAATTGAGTGTTATACCCTATATTTATCATTAATGTTACACGTTGTAATCCATCACTATTTTAAAATTATTTCAACAATAAATTATATTACATTTTATTAAATTTTATTAATTTATGTTTGATTCTCTAACTATTCATCTTGGTTTTTGTTCATATATAGAGATAGAAATAAGATATGTAAATTTTTTTAAATTTTACAAGCTTTTGGATTGTCTGCGAGTAAAATTTGATAATAAATATTAACAGTAAAAATTAAGTAGATTTTTATGAGAAAAATGAATAAATTATTTTTAAATTCAAAATTCTAATTTTAACCATTAAACTCTGTTAACCTAACAATTTAATAGATATGTAAATTTGAAATATTTGATGTGTTTAAATAGATCTTGAACCATGTAATTACAGTTACCAGTCTTGGAAGATTTTTATACTTTTATAATTTACGACGGAGACAATACAAATTGTTTTTAGTTACAGGTGCAGATTAAATAATTAGAATTTCTTTTCTATTGAATATATTAACTAACTATATTTATTAAGATAACAATTTTTTATGAAATAACAATTCAAAAAATTATCGTTATTAATTTACGAAATGTATAGGAAAAACAAATGTTTTTCTTTTCAAAATCTATAAAAAAAAAAAAAGGGAAAATTTGTACGAACCAACTTACTTCAGTAGTTAAAGAAATGTTATTGTTCCTAGAGATTATGGGTTCGGGTATCAATGGATGTAACAAAATGATTGAGTGTTAATTGTCAAATGATTGAGAATATTTAGAACATATACTAATTTGTAATCACCTTAGCTTAATAAAAAAAGAAAAATTAAATTCTTCTATTAGTACCTACAATATATTTAAATTGTGGATTTAGTGTCTAATTTCTTGAAGTTTTGTAATTTTAATTCATATCTAATTATTAAATTGGCTAATGTACACAAATAGTCCCTGACTATAGTACATTGCTTTCTCCCGACTATTAAAAGTTATAAAATGATCCTACAACTATAGAAAGTTGCTTTTTCAAGTCCCTCAACTATTAAAAATTACAAAATAATCACTAAATTATTCATATGTTACAAACTCACCATTCTCTGTTAAAAAACAATCGTCTGAGCTAGTTAACACATTGATTGTAATACAATAGTCGTTTGAGATTCTGAAATCAGATTTTACTATATCTCAATCAGCAGATTAACGTTAAGCTCAGATTGTCGTCAATTTTCTAACGAAAAATGATAAGTTTGGAGCATATGAATAGTCAAGTGACCATTTTATAACTTTGATATTCGAATGACTCAACAAAGTATTATTCTAGAGTTAGAGGAGCACCTTTTAACTTTTAATGGTCGAGAGATTTAACAAAGCAACGGCCTATGGTTAGGGGACATTTGCGTATTTTACCCTATTAAATTTGATAAGTCAAATCATGTTATTAATCTATGTATTATATGTAAGATGTAAATTTAATTTAATTATTCTAAATTTATATAATTCAATCATATTTGTTTCCGTAACTTATCCGGACAGAAGATAAATTTTGACGAAAAAAAAAAAAAGGAATACCATATCCATTTAGAGAATTTTAATAGGCCCACGTTTCAATATATTAATTAAAAGTAAACAAAAATTCTGACAGAAACTCTGAATGCCAATCTATTTGACGCGAATCTGAATCAGCAGGTGCATAAAACGACCAAAAAACAACCCCCGAACCACCAAACCAATCACAATGGATAGAGTTTTCTCTGTCGAAGACATGTCCGACTACTTCTGGTCTTCATCCGCCGCCGCAGCCGACGACGATAGAGATAACAAACCCGGTTCTAAAATGAACCGCAGTGCTTCCGAGTGGGCTTTTCAGCAGTTCCTTAGAGAAGAAGTTGATAACAAAGGTGGAGATCATAACGAAGAGGAGGCGGCTAAGGAGGAGCTGAAGAACAAAAATGGGTGTTTTGAAAACAATAATAACAGCAACAATGTTTCTGCTGATTTTGAGGATTATCAGGCTGTTCTTAAGAGGAAGCTTAACTTGGCTTGTGCTGCTGTCGCCATGTCAATGGTAAGTCTTTCCCATTCTTCATTTTTACTTTATTTTTTGTATTGTTGGATGATGAGAAAAAGTTTGGATCTCTAATGGTGTTTCTTTTCTTTTGCAAAAGATGTGATTCCTTTTCTGGGTTATGTTTGGTCACTGAGAAAATTAAAAAGGGTGATTTGACATTTTGATTTTGCATTTTGGGTTACTAAATAGCTAGAATTCCTCTCCTTTTTTTAGCATTATTGGAGTCGTTTTCTTTTCTCTTTATTTCATTTATTGTGATTGGTACTGGATTTTCTTTCGTCTCGATTTTGGTTAGAATTTGCCAAATTGGAATAAATTTGCCAATTTGGTTGGACTATATTTTTTTAATGATTTTTTAAGGGTATTTTATTAGAAAAGTGTGTATTTCCTTAAAACTCCTTGTACCACAAAGAGCTGGAGATTAGTCAAGTATGGGCTGTACTTGGCTTGCCTTGTTCCTCATGATACCGTGATACAAGCTATTGACTCTGTAATTAGCTGGAAACTATAAGCATGTTCTAAAACTTGTGTTCATGTATCGGAAGAGTTTTTTCCGATGAACTGAAAGCCGATGCATGCTTGCCACTCTTTTCTCCAACTCAGTCAACCAAGCTCATGGTTATAGTTTTAAATCTTTTGATGCATCTGTTCAATGCATCTTTCATGTTGCTTTGTCATCAGTTTAACATTATGTGAATCCCTTTCGCTCTTTAAACTTTCTACTGAGTATGTTATGCACATTTCAAACAGGCATCTATTGCAAAACACCAAGATTCTGCTTCTAGAGCAGACAGTAGATCACAGGCATCTAATGCTGCACAATTGGGATCCAAAATCGTTTCTAAAGGTAGAAATTCATCTTCGAAGCTTCTTACGAGCAACCGTTCTTCTCTGCTTTCTTATTGGTTTTCGAATTTCATAGCAGCATGTGAATTCGAGTTCTCAAGAGTAATGCAGTCTTATGTGTTGTATTCCTGTTTCACTGAATATATAGGAGTCGGTAACAAGGATGATAATGCTGCAGTTGGAAGTTCTTTTTTGAATGGAGAGAAGAAACTCGGAGCTCAGGTGAGGCCGAGCACAAGTACGGGATCATCGATAGAACAGTCAGAAGACGATGAAGTTGAAGGCGAAAACGGAACAATGGAGAACATGGATCCTGCAGATACAAAACGTGTAAGAAGGTAACCATTGGTTCTTCTTTGAAGTTGCTGATATTTTACTGGGTGATGCATGGCTGAGATGCATTTGGCATAAAAAAATATTTTCATTAAACTTCATGAGAATGTTCTGTTCATTAATAGAACAAATTAATCCTACAATTACTTACTTTGTTGTGTTTTTTTCCTGCCAATTGATCGTATGGTTGTTCAGGATGCTTTCAAATCGAGAGTCTGCTAGGCGTTCTCGAAGAAGAAAGCAGGCTCATTTGACAGAACTCGAGACACAGGTCTTTTGCTTATCCCTGCCCTTTGTTTTGTTTTCTCCGCTTTTTGTCTTGTTTCAATTCCTTCTTCGAGTTATGAATGTCCTAATCCATTACTTGTTGTAGGTTGCTCAACTAAGGGTCGAAAATGCAAACTTATTGAAGCGTTTGAATGACATTAGCCAAAAGTACAATGCAGCAGCTGTTGACAACAGAGTTTTAAAAGCCGATGTTGAAACATTGAGAGCAAAGGTAAGTTAATCATCAGATGTATTCAAGATGTTTTGGAAATCACTTCTTAATACTATGTCCACTGGTAACTTCTTTATATAGGTAAAAATGGCTGAGGAGGCTGTCAAAAGAACAACTGGTTTGAACCATATGTACCTTGCCTCACCCGAGATATCGACAATGGGCGGAAGTCCCTCTGATACATCAACAGATGCTGCTGTCCCAGTGCATGATGGTCCAAAGCATACCCTCTATCATTCAGACAATCCTATCCCCACTCATGACCAGAGAATCAATGATGCACTCGCAGATATTTCTTCAGTTGAAAACATACAATCAAATTCTGGAGGATCTGCTGTAACAGGAAACAAAATCGTACAGGCGGCTTCTTTGCAGCGTGTGGCTAGCTTGGAACATCTGCAAAAGTGAATCCGTGGGGGTGTAATCCCCTGTGGATCCCAGTCAAACGGGAAGCAATAGGAGCAAAGCGCAGAAATAGAGCCTGAAGAGAGTTACTGAAGAATGCCTTGGAATTTGACTAAACTATGCTATTATTTCTGGTTTAACTAGGGGAAACAATGCTATTCTTTAGGTTAATTGTGCAGCAATGGAAACTGCTAGATTAAACCTTTCATTTAATCATGTGATATCTGCTGGAAAGCGACTAATCTATATGGTGGTCGATTCTACCACTGCCATTTCCATAGCATGCTGTGGACTTTTCGATACATCTTGTTAGCCTTTCTTGAAAATATGCTGTGCTATTTTTTTCATTATCGGATTAACTAATCATGGTGATTTGCTGATGGTCTGTATGAAACTACCACCAGGTTTGGTTTCTACCCTCTTCAATTTCATCTTCTTTCTTACCATCTCCACTTGCCGCCACCTTCCACCAGAAGCATAAACATTTGATAAAGCTATATAATCTTCACTAGTAACAGGCACATGAAGAGAACTGTTTGGTGGCTCTAGCCGAAGCAGAATCTTCCCCACTCTCTCAGCCAATGCAAGATCTCCATGAACATTACAGGCACTTAATAAACTCCGCCACAATATGGCATCGGGTTTGATTGGCATCTCTATGATGAAATCGTAGGCTTCGTTTAGATATCCCGCCCTGCCAAGTAGATCAACAATGCAGCCATAATGTTGTATCCGTGGCTTGATACTGAACCTCTTCCTCATATTGCGAAACAAGTGAAGTCCCTCTTCAACTAGCCCAGCATGGCAGCAAGCTTGAAACAAGCTAGTAAAAGTCACTGGATTAGGTTTAATACCAGAATCCTCCATTGCATCCAGAAGCTCCAATGCTTCTTTTCCTCTCCCATGAACAGCCAAGCCAGTTCCCATGGCAGTCCAAGTCAGAACATTTTTCACTGTTATTACCCTAAAAATACATAGAGCAGTATCAATGCACCCACATTTTGCATACATGTCAACAAGACCAGTTCCAATAAAAACATCATTCTCAGGCCTACAGATTGTCTTCACTATAAAACCATGAACACAAGCCCCACTGTACAGCTCTCCTAATTGAGAGCAAGCTGAAAGAACACAAACCATGGTAGTATCAGTAGGATTCTGCCCAGAAACATCATCCAACATGTCTCTAAACAGCACCAAAGCTTCAATGCAACATTTCTTAGCTCTCTCCCTCTGTGAAATATAGCCTTTAATCATCGCATTCCAAGTAACACTGCTTCTCTCAGTCATTTCATCGAACACCTTTCTTGCTGAAAAAATATCCTTATTATTCGCACAGAAATGAATCAGTGTAGTCCTTACCAAAAGATTTGACATGAAACCGGATTTAAAAGCTTTCACATGAACTTGTCTTCCTAACCATAGTGTTGACAACGATTGCGATCTAGCACAAGCTCCAAGCACGAAAATATAAGTGAAATCATCAAAAACTAAGTGCCCTTTTGAAACCCAGTGGGCAAAAGTGAAGATTGAGTCCCTGGGTTTGCTGCATCTTAGCAGAGTGTTGAAAAGGAACAAACTTTGGTCGTGAAAGTGTTGGAATATCGATCGTGCATATTGGGTATTTTGTGGAGAGGGTGAAAAGCAGTAGTTTTCAACTAGTTTGGCAAAAAAGGAGGGATCTTTCAGGCCATTGGTGATTAACTGGGCATGAATTTGTTTAATTTGGTGTGAAGCTATTGGTTTTTTGAGGTTTAAGAGAAGCAGTAAGTTTAACATTGGGAGTAAGTACCTTCTTTAAGGGATTTGAATGACAGATTATTATCATCTTGTTCTTTGGTTTAGAGTTATCACCAAAATAAAATACTACTGATAAATAAAATTAAAACAGATTATGAAAAAAATAATAAAAATGGAAAATTTTTGTTCATTATATCAACACGATTTCCTTAGAAAAATTTATATTTCTTATTAAATATTAATTTTATAATCCCTGATTTTTCATTGGAGATCTTCCACAGTAAAAATATTTTTCAATAATACTAGTACACCATAGTCTCAGAGTATGATAATTTAGTGATGTATCAAGTACCTGATACATCCCTAACATGGGTACAAGATTTTTAAGGGGTACGATTCGTTAGAGAGATTTTTAAGGACATATCAGTGATATTTGATATTCAAGAGCATACCTAAGATTTCGTTTAAGATTTAAATAATAATAAAAAGATATAGATGAATTAGGATGTGATTTTATTTTTTTAATTAGAATGTGAATTAGTATTTAATTTCTCATACAAAAGAATATTCTTCAATCTAAAAAGTTAGTGGAATAACGTTGGTGTCGAAACTTCATTGCTCTAATCTTTGACTTTCAAAATATTAGGACTACATACTTCATCATCTTGTTGTGAAAAAAATTAGAATACTTATTCTTTCATGACTCTTTTTTTCATACACTCTTTTAAAAAGAATAAGTTGAATCCAAGTCATGATGATTTAGTTTACATCCACTCTTACAAGAATTAATGAACATCCTGTATTAAAAAAACATAAAATTTGTAAGCATTTCATGTTAGGTTAAGTTAAAAAAATAATGAATTTAATACATATTATAATAGGGTCAAGAACTTACTCCCATGGTACATCTCCAACCAACATCTTTATCTTCATACGTAGGCACAAATTCTGACCCATTGTATCCTTCCCTTTCTGAATATTTACCAGCTTTGAACTTGAATATGTCTTCCATGGCCTTAAGCAATTCTGGGGTATCCCTTGTAAATTTTTAATATCTATCTTCCTAAGATAAGCAGCTCCATCCATGCTAACTTTGACGTACATTCCACTTGTTTCGGCCTCGGTTTTCTCCGTTCGAAGGCTGTTTTTACGGTAAGATCGGGTCGGTGGCCAACCTACGATTTGAACCCTGCAATGTTAATTATGTAAAAGAAAATGGGATTATTTAATTTTGTACTAGTACAAGGACTAAATTGATCCGTTTAATAGCATAGAATTATTTTGAATCACTCACTATATTGGAGAGACTAAATCAATCACTAATATTAAGACCGACTATAGAATTACTATATCCAATTTATTGATCAACTAATTCAAATCGAATTTTATAGAGATTTATTATGGGAGTGATCCTCCCAATCTAGTTTTCTCCGTACGTAAACACTATGATAAAATAATAATAATAATAATCAAACTAAAATTCAATTTATATATTTTTTTCAATTTAACATAAGGTGGAAAATGCATGGAATATTTATAGGTTTATATACACGTATGTGGACAATGATAGACCGAGGGAACATTTGGAGAGAATCGTTCCTCAAAAATCTCAAATTTTAATATATTTTAGTTTTTTTTTTATTATTAATAATATATTTTTTAATAGTTCTGATTGATTACAATGTAGTATTTGTTTAGAACATTTTTAACCAATTGACAACGCGCATACACTTTACAAACGTAATTGTTTAAACTCATGATCTTGAGAGAATAACAACATTCTTTTTACTACTGAGGTCATTTGATGTGTTCATTAATAATCTATTTTCGTTCTCTCTAAAATTGTATAACTTCGTCATCTCCTAAAATATTTTAAGTTCTTCCTCTAACATAAAATCTCGTGTCGGTGTATCAATACTCTTACTTTATTGTAAGTAAATGAATAGACATCCTAACCATAATTGGAAGAGATGAAAGCAAGTATGCAGGGGTTCAATGCACCTATAATTTCCAATCTCTTTCCCAATAAATACTTGTTAGGGTACGAGGGCGACAATTCACCCGTGAGCATTGCATGGCCACGTTTAGGCCTTAATTGGCAAGATGTGCGTAGGATTCGATGATAGGAACATGATTAGAGAATATATAAACGAATATGTTTATGAAAGTTAAACAAATTGAGCACAAACACATTTAAAAATAGACAAACGAATATAATATTAAAATTTTTAAACAAACATGAATCGAATATTATCTTAAAAATAAACAAACATAAACATTACCTTATTTGTTAAAACTCTACTCATTTACAGCTACTAACCTTTGATTCTATCATATATTTAAGTTCTAAAGTCAAAAAGTGTCTATCGCCTTCCTTGTTATATGTTACTAATATTGACTTTTCTATTTTATTGTTCCCAACAGGACTACATGAGAATGTCTTGGTTAGATAAATAGTCAGCATCTCACCACCTAAACCTAATTGTCGACACCATAATTTCTTCGAAAAATGTTAAATATTCTAATTTATGATGAATGCATTGAATATTATTGACTAAGAAAATAATAGAAAAAAGAGTCCACATAAATAAATGTAAAAAAAATACTGAAAGAGTGAAATTGATTTTTTTATAAAAAGAATAAATTAGAAAGATATAATATTTTCACGGTATTATCGACAAAAAGACCCGTTTGTGGATGAAAATAATTAGTTAACGAATTACTATCACCATAAACAAGAATATTTGTTATCATAAAATGAAACATCAAGGGTTAAAGTGATCAAAAAATAAGAGTCAAAGTAATTATTTAATTAAACGTTAAATATATTTTTAATCTAAAAATGTTGGAGATCAAAATACTCTTAAAAAAAGCTAAAATAATAAATTTCGTGGATATTGGAGTCTAATTTTAGTTATACCTATTATCAAATGGTCACACGTGTGGTGTCTTTGATAGATGTTGACATTGTTTTGGTTATGTGGTTTTAAGGGTGCACACGTGTGAAGCAGAAGGGACGGTGACAGTGGGCTTTGTGGGCCGGACATCCCACACGATTAGCCTTGTAATTACTCATGGTCCCACATGATTAGCCTAAATGAATTTCTTTTAATAGTTTGAGATTATATGGGTGATATATATTTATAATTTTTTATGTATTATATATATATATTATTGACGTGTCTGTTTGAATAACACTCTTTTTAATTAATAAGATCAACTTAGTAAAAGAAAATATTCTTATTCAAAATTTTAAGCTTTATAATTAAGATTGAAATAGTGATACATAATTATAACATGTAGTAAGTAAATAGAATTAGGGGCGGAACTAAAAATTTATTATATCGGGAGTTAAAGTATTTTTTATTTTTCATAAATATAATTTTTTTAATTGAGTGTGGCATGATAAATTTTTATTTATTTATTTTTGAAAAAATATTTTTACTATATTAATTAATAATTAAAAATATAATTGACGGGGCCAAAACTCCCCTTGCCCTCCCCTTGTTCTGCCCATGCATCAGACATTTAATTGATTTTCAATTTTATTTATAAAATTAGAAGTTTTATGGTTAAACTATAAAATATTATTTTTTTTATATTGTGTAATATAATAATTAAGAATGAAAAAAAAATCAATTCAATTCGATAATAATGAACAAAAATTCCTTATTTTTTTACTCAATTAAACTTTTTATGACTATAATTGTATTTTGGATAAGCCCTTTTCATAGCTTAGTCTAGTAGTTGGTGTCTCATTGTATTTTGCATTGGGGAAGTCAAAAGTGCAATTTTCCACATGCAATATATTTAATGCAAGAAAAGGACACTATAGTATGTCAAAAAGGATAAAAAGATCTTTATTTCAACATATTACTTTTTTTATAAATTCTAAATTTAGTTATAATTTTATTTAGAAGAAAATAAATGACTTATAATACCTACTCTCATATATGACCTATATAAAAAAATAAAATAAATATTTTGACAAATATACCTACTCTCATATATGACCTATAATGCAACGATATACAATACATAATACCTTTTCTTAATAATATAAAACTAACGAAAATGTTGATTTTAAATCATGGGTCTTATTTAACATCACTTTCCCGACACATCTTGGACGGTCGAATCAACACTATCTTCCGCTTGGCACAATCTTCACCGTCCATATGCCACAAAAATAACATTCCGAAACCATATATTATCTTTTAGACAAAAACCAAATTTTGGCCTTCTCAACACTTTCATATTATTCCTCCACCAAAACACATCAAGAGAAACAAAGAGAGAGAAAAAGATAACACACACAGAAGAAAGCACAAGGCAAGTAGAGAGACAAGCAAAAGATTGAAGTCGGATCGATTTTGGGTTTTTCACGTATCATTGACATAATGAGTGGCGTTATGGGTTCGAATCGTGACGAGTATAGCACGATTAATTTTGAAGAGACCGAGTTACGTTTAGGGTTGCCCGGAGGCGTTGAAAACGACAACGAAACGGCCAAAAATAATGGGAAAAGAGGCTACTCGGACATGGTTGATTTGAAGCTTAACCTTTCAACAACAACAAAGGAAGCATCGGTTGATGAAGCTGAGAAGATGAAGGAGAAGAACACTGCAAAGCCCTCTGCAAAGTAAGCTACCATTATTATATATTTCCTCTTGCTTCTGGTGATTCAATATGTTCTTGGTTAGTTACTTTTATTTCATAAGAAAATATATGTTCATAACTTTTTTAAATAATTGATAAGACATGTATCTTACTGTAATTGTTCGAACTTAACCTATAGAGAAAACAATATTTTTTTTCACCCACAATTTACAATTTTGAAAGAAGAAAACGTAAAGTGAGCGTGAACAACCATGAGCATATTTTTGGGCGACGAAAAGTTTTAGTCGGTGAAAATTCATTCTGATACTGTTATTGATTGTTGAATGTTAGTTTCAACGTTAAAGAAGATGAGTCTTGAATGAATATTGGCCTTGTAAAGAGGCGTAAGCAGTCTTAAGTGGGATATTTGGTGGCTTTCATAGTTTGTCGGGAAAAAGACGAAAAAAACAAAACAAAACATGTGGAAACTTTTCTTTTTCCCGGCAACCAAACAATAATTCAAAAGTTTAGCTAAGCTACCAAACTTTAGGTAAATGATAATAATAATTTTTCCCAATATTTTTATGTTATTTTCTCGCTAATGATCTTATGGTAAATTTGAATATCTGACTTCAGGACACAAGTAGTCGGATGGCCACCGGTCCGGTCTTTCCGGAAAAACATCATGACGGTTCAGAAGAACAACTCCGGCGAGGGTGAGAAAGCCGGAAGTGGAAGCAGCGGCAGCACGACCGCCAAAGGCGTGCCACCAGCCGCGTTAATTAAGGTCAGCATGGATGGTGCACCATATCTACGCAAGGTAGACTTGAAATTATACAAGAGTTACCAAGAACTATCAGATGCCTTGGGCAAAATGTTCAGCTCCTTCACTATTGGTAACTGTGGAGGATCACAAGGAATGAAAGATTTCATGAACGAAAGCAAATTGATAGATCTCTTGAATGGTTCTGAATATGTTCCTACTTATGAAGATAAAGATGGAGATTGGATGCTTGTAGGTGATGTCCCATGGGAGTAAGTTAATTTCTAACTTCAATTAATATTTTTTTTAAGTTACATAAATGGTCTCCCGATATGACGTTGGTTTGTTGAGTCTTCCAATTATAGAATGTTGCTTTGTTAAGCCCTCGATTATGAAAAGTTACAAAATAATCTCAAACAATAGGACATAGCTTAGTTGAGTCTCTCAACTATTAAAAATTATAAAATAATCAACTGATTATTCAAATGTTCCAAACTCGTCACTTTCTGTTAAAATTTTAGTGGTCTTCTAATTTAGACATTAAGATGTTGACTGAGATATGACAATCTAATCCCATAACAGTTTGAATTGTATAGTCGTTTGAGATTTTGGGATCATATTTTATTATATCTCAAGCAGCAGGTTAACTTCAAGCTCAAACGACTGTCAATCTTATAATGAAAAATAATGAATTTGACTACTTTGTAACTTTAAATAGTCGAGAGATTCAACAAAGTTGAGCCCTATAATCAAAGAATTATGCTGTAACTTTTAATAGTCAATAAATTCAACAAATCAATGCTTTATAGTCAATGTATCATTTATTTACTTTACGTTTTTTTAATTGATTTCATGATACACTCATTTTCTACTATCATTTCAGGATGTTTGTTGATTCATGCAAACGTTTACGAATCATGAAAGGATCTGAAGCAATTGGGCTTGGTTAGTTATTTAATTTTACACAATATCATGATAGTTTGATTTAAATCTATTTAAAGATCGAATCATTTCTTTAATCACTCTGGACTCGATCTGATTATGATCCGATCCATGAATATTACTCTATTTTGAATTGATAAATTTTATATAAATATGCAAAAGTTTATTAGATGATTTGATTAATTTTACATTGGAACTACAGCACCAAGAGCAGTGGAGAAGTACTGCAAGAACAGAAGCTGATGATAGTTTTATGACACAACAATATCAGTTGAGAACCAAGTAAAGCAGAACATCAGACTGGTTATCGAGAAGGATAGAGCAGGGAGTTTGAATGCGTTCATCATCAGCATGAAAAAAGAAGAAGAAACTATTAAGAGACAATAAATCAAACTGTCTATAAGACTTTGTTTTAATTTCTTCTGTCAAGGCATGGCTTGTGTAGTAATTAATAAACCTAAAAATATTATTATTAATGTTTTAAATTAGTTGTCGTGAGCTTTCTTTTATTTTTCTTTTTTAATTCGCTCCTTATTTTGTAATATTTTTGCATGTGGTTTCTTTTCTTTAATGTAATATTATATGAAAAGATTCTTGCAATGTGCATTATTTTATTTAGGATGAATTATATAATGTTTTATTGTAATTAGTTGAGGAGACAAACGAACAAGATCCATGAACAAAGTGATAAGGAAGACAGCAACGCCATGTGCACATGGCTGTAACATTTAAGAATCAATTAGAGGAGATACGTAGAAATTATTGAGAAAAAGACAATGAAAAAGCCATCACAAAAGAAAGTAAAAACATGAGAAGTTGAAGGAGAAATAAATATCTTCTACAAAATTACGATGTATGTACGAATTAAAATTTTGGGTAAAGTACACAAATGGTACCTAACTATAGGATATTACTTTGTTGAGTCCATCGACTATTAAAAGTTACAAAATAATCTCTCGATTATAAGACGTTGTTTTATTGAGTCATCTGACTATTTAAAGTTACAAAGTGGTTACCCAACTATTCATATGACACAAACTCATCATTTTCTGTTAAAAAATTGATGGTCGTCTAAGCTAGACATTAACTTGTTGACTGAGATATGATAAAATCATATTTTTAATGAAGTTGCGTTATTCTTTTTGTTGTTGAACAAAATCCAGCTTCCAGCAGCGATAGTAGCAGAAAGATGTAAGACGATTGAAACAAATTTGGATAAATTTGCATCAGACTAATAACGATCAATCTATAGCAAAAGCAAACCATGATATAGCTTCACAGTTGAAAATACCAACAGCATATCATAGTCCCAATAACAAATCAAAATAGCTTACTGGCATTCAACCCTTTTTTCATACCAGTAGCAGTTCCCCAACATTATCACACCAAACTAGCTAACAACGTACTAAAATGAACAGAGCAACTCGCACCGGTCAATACAGTGTAATAGCCAAACTAGTCATATCAAATAGCTAAATCAGTGAAACACAAACCGACAAACTGTAACAATGGCATCAACGGGAACCAAAGAAAGAAAATAAATCACCTATAAGAGACAGGTCGATTGGACGATAGTCGATGAAGTGCATCTGAAACTAAACAACGGGTGACAAACGAAGAACGACACTCCAAGAAACCAATGTCATTTACACAACGACGAATAACATGAATTGACAAGAGTAATGTCAGTAGTGAACCAGATCTATTCAAAATGATTACTACTCTTGAGCAAAGCAATGATATATACCGACCAAATGTACGAATTAAGGAAAGGAAGAAGTAGAGACTATGATCAAGCCATTAGTGGCTTTCAAGCTTGCAATATTTGTACTACCAGTACACTGTCAAAACATAAATGTGTTGTTGAAATTGTTAACTGATCAAGTGTTCAAGGAATGAAAAAAGTGTAGATATCGATCAAGACATTAACAACTTTTAAAGCTTAAAATCCACAATTGAACAACAAAAAGAAAAGAAGAAAGAAAACTTCAAGAAATTCAAAATCTACCAAGTCACTACCAGTAACCAAGTTTGGATTTCAATGTACAATATCTTTTTCAACTCTTCCTTTTCGATTTATTCCAAATTTGTTATCTTTTGATTCTGATTTCTTATTTGGTTTTCATGGAAATTCAATTTGAATCCGATCATAAATTGTATCTTCATCCACTGGATACGTCTGACACTATGCTCATTTCTCATCAGTTGACTGATATTAAGAATTATAGTATATGAAGTCGATTAATGCAGATCGTCTTCCATGGTATTCTTGTCATGGATCATAGCTTCGATGATAATTTTAACGCACAGATTTGCTACTTTGATAAAATATTTGAAGTACAATTTGGTAAGAAACGAAAACAAACAAAAAGCAGGAACCCAACATTTTTTTTTAGATAATTCATCAAAGGGACAATCCAGACTCTTCATCCTCTTCAAGACTAGAGACGTAGATAAATACAATGCCCAAATTAAACCAAACACTCCAAAAAGGATCCATCCCAGCAGGTTGTTACTTAAACCAAAAGGAAGTCCTGTTCCTTCCGTTGACAGTCTCTCATCCACCAACGCCGTGGCCGGTGCAGCCGCCGTCATCGCCACCGCTGCTGCTACCATCATCGATGCCACCATGCCGGGATCCGTGTTGTGCCCTTTCGAAGATGGCTTCTGCTCTAGGCTGCACCTAACCTTACCCCTTGTAGCCATAACAGGCAATCCTAAACACACAATACCATGCATGACAAGGACAAAATCCAGTTTTAAAGACATAAAATATCCATGCAAGATAGGAACGGATACAAGATTTTACGTTCCAAGCCTCTCGCTCCATCGTTGATTCGAGGCAAAATTTAGACTTGAAAGAACTAGAAACTTACCAAGAACTGGGAATGACAGAACTTTGTTTGAACCTTTCAAAGTTGCCTTAGGCAACACTGCTGCAAAGCTGCAAACTGTTGTGGTGGCCATTTCTTTGAAATCAATTGGATCGAAGGGGAAGACCCAAGGAAATTAAGTGTAGATTTATATTATCTTTACACAAATGTTAATGGAAGCGGCAAATAGTCCCCAGTGGTGAATGTTGTAAGCAACGGTGTAATGGTGGACATAAGGGAACCACACAAAGTGGACGAATAAAAGCTTTGAATTTTATATCCTTAATTTTTAGATGGACCAACCATTTCGCTTCACTTGTCACTCGGATTCAGTGAACAAAACTATTAAATCTTTAATTTTCGAACAACATCAATTATAAGATATTTAAATGAGTATTATAAATTGATTAAAAATCTCTAAAACATATATTATCATTTATAGTCGTCTTAAATTAATAAAATAATAATAACAATAATAAATTAATAAAATAATAATAACAATAATAATTTTATTAAGTAATTAAGCTAAAATTCATATTTATGTATTGTAATTGTTTGATTCATACTCGTGATGATATGTGTTTATGATATAAAATAGGAGTATTTTATTCTTTTAGACAATTTTTTTATTTTTATTTTTAATCTCGTTTTTCCTCATTTTGTTATAAATAATTCTAATTTTGTTCATACTAATACTAAAAAATTAGAACTAAAATCATCTATAATTATTATCAACTATAAAATTCACCCTAAAACCCACAATAAATCTTTAAAAATCCATACTTTTCTATTTTTTTATTAAACTATATCTCCCTAATTTTGCCTGCATTATATAAAACCTATGGTATAACTTTACCAAACTTAATGGAATGTAAATTGCATCTCTTATATATAAATATACATACGATTAAAGGGTGTGTTGTTCTTCCTTAAATTCTCGGGTTCAAATAGTTGCGTATGCAAATGTATGCATTGTTAATGACTAAAAAAAATTATAAACATATATTATCTTTTGATAATCTCCTACCATTAAAAAATAAATATATACATGATTGTATAATAAAGGTATGGTCTAGCCTTATCTGTTAGGGGAAAGTAGAAATTGAATTAAAGATTAAGTGCCCTTGTATTATGTAAAATACTTTATGAAAATATTTTTTCAGTATTTAGTTTAAATAAAATAAATTTATCGATGTTAAATCAATTATAAGTCGATAAAAAAAAACCTGCATATCTCTGTGAAATGACTTACTGAATTGTTTTGGTAACTAATTTCCCTTTCTCAATTAACTTAGACGGTGTAAATAAATTTGAGTAGAAAAAAACTAAATTACATCGATATATATATATATAAGAAATGACCATCCAGCTCAGTTGGTAGAGCACAAGGTTCTTAACCTTGGAGTCGTGGGATCGAGTCCCACGGAAGGTATTTCATAATTCGGAGGTCTCCTACGGAAGCTGTTTTCAATCTTACATTGGGGGCATCCTATTATCTTATCTCTCCCTTACCCCATTACATATGGGAATAAGGGTCAGCTAATTATATATATATATAAGTTAATTATATTTTTTAAATATTTGATACGTTAAACAAAAAAGTTTTAAGAAAAAAATAAACTAACTTACACCCATATAAAATAGTTAATAATATTTCATTAACTAAATTATTGTAATATTTTAAAATAATAATATTAATTTTTTTCATAAATAATATTATTTATCATATTTGGTATAATATTTTTTTTAAATTTTATCAAATAGCAATAAATAATTTACCCACATCATCCAAACTCCAAAAAATATTTTTAAAAAATATTTTTTAGAAAAAATACAATTTATTCTCCAAAAATTATTTTCAATGAAACAAATAAACTTGGAATCTTAAATAAAAAATCAAAAACTATTTTAATTAGTGTTGATGGAAATAAGTTTAACCCATCGACTATTAGTGGTTCACTCCACCTGATTTGGACAAAGAACCGTGAGTAATAGAGAACGGTTATCGACCAATTTCCGATACGGATAGAGTAGATTACCATAAGGAGAATCGACGTCAAACTTGTTCTTGTTAACAATTTGATGCGGTGAGCGTGGACATTTAAAGACGGATCCCCCGATCGAAACAACGAAAAGCCACATCGATACGTCGGTGGCTCAACAGAATACCAAACCTTCCAGGATTTCAGTTTACCCTTACTAAATAAATATGTTTTTCTTAAGGCGACACCCCTGTCCCTACTTCTCATTGTTCATCTTCTTCCAAGCACCGTTCAAAAGTAAATCTCTACATTATCTTAATCAATAGCACTGGAAACAACAATGGCATTTGGGAATCTCGACCCATTTTCGCTTTCAATATTTAACGCAGAATGATCAACATGCAAGCCTACTCCAGCTTGTTCCATGAAGCTGCTCCACTTTAATTCTGACCCCACTTACCTCAAAACCCTAAAGGTCAAATTAATCGAAACTTTTCTCATGCATACTACTTTCTATCAGTTCCACAACTTTGCAAATGCTTACCTTTTTTACAGCCAGCAAAGCAGCCAACACATTCCAGGTGAATCCAACCTTTTTAATTCGATTCTAAAGATAAAAATGTCATGTCGCTTTTAACAGCGGATGTTAGGTATGATTTTAGAAAAAATAGTTGAATGATCAAAATGGAACTAAAGTGATGGTCACTAAACATGTAGTTTACCCTAATAATTAACATAGCCTGCAAGAATTGTAGAACAGGCAAAGCTTATATGCTAAAACAAACCAGTAGCATAATCTGCCAGTGTTTAAGAACTTAAGGTTATCAAAACAAACATTATGAGACATGTTCTGAGACGAGTTGAAAGAAAGTTGATTGATCATTAGATTCATTCTAAACAAGGTTACTTCCAGAATAAGTATAATATGGTAGCAAAGTAATCACCTCAAAGCTCCCATGCCAAAACTGCAAATTTCATTTAACAATCATGTTAATCAGCCAAAATACAGAACCCAACATTACCATCAAATAAGCAGAGCCACACATTCTCCTATATTTCGAGAATATGCAAACTATTGAACCGCAAAATATCGCCACTTTCGAGATTCAATCAATGAGTACAAAACTTGTTATATCCAATTCTAACCCAAGCGCCAACTTTCTTCTTATTATACCTCCGGAGATACTCTTTCACCAGCAACAAATCATCCGCCCATCAAAGCCTCCGGAGGTACTCTCTTGAATTTGACAAAGTCTTCGGGGTCTCGTATCCTCCATCCAGTCATAAACACTTGACAATACCATTGGCAAATCTGAGAGATCTGTCAACACCAAATCTACTATCAAACAATCACATACGTGTACTGTATCAGTCTACCGATAGTCATGAATGATAACTCTAAGCATGACATCAACATTGAGGGTCAGTATATAAATCCTTTGCAAGACTGAAAGTGTGTTCAAACCTTCTCAACTCTGGATCTTCTTCAATACACTTCTTTGGCTTAAGACCTTCTATCCTCTGTTCAAGAACAATCGTCTACGAACCTCCTACTAAACTAGGAGTGAACCACCTGCGGCTGACACACCCCCACATTTTATCATCAACACTTCTAATAAACGTGAAAACTAGAACGATCAAGGGGATCATCTCATGAATGAAACAAGTCATGCATCAAATAGGAACCACTAAAGGGATCATACCAATGCCTCCCACCCTACACCCACAATCTTAAACAATAAACACCAGGATCAAAAGACACCATATGATCCCGTAACACAGTTCAAAACAAACCCCAAAGACCACAACAATGTCAAACCTAAAAACAACAAAATACCAGCTCAAGTTCAATTTCAAACAACCACAAGGAAACTTCATGCACCTCAAAATTTAAACTAATAACACCAAACCACAAGCCATACCTCAACCAAAATCCTAACCACTAATGAAAAGACCAATTCCTCCCCTCCAATCAACCCCCATAACACAACTTTGCAAGAATTCAACACCAAAAAGATCAAATCAAATCCTATTATATCCAGAAGTGGGCCTCAAAGGCATACTTCCAACAACAGAAGGCAACCCATCTTCCTCCTCTTCACCAGGAAGAAGACCCAAACCTTCAGTTACTCTAAAGGCAGCATGAACGCCAATAACAACGGCCGCAATAATCAACCCCACTAACACATTAACAACCACATGCGTCAAAACCAATAAAAGCACAGTAGCAAAACTCAAAGCCCCCAAAACAACATTATCACCCACTGTTCTGTTGAAAACGACAACTGGGTTGTCGTTAAAGAGATACAAGAACCACCAGAGAGATTAATTTAAGCCCTTTAGCTTGGATCTTTGAAAGGTTTCTTCTTTTCTGTGAAGAAAATTATTATTATTATTTTCCCATAAATTCTGACATCAGTTTCTTTTTGTTGAAGACTTTACCTGGGAAACCTGTTCTGCAACTGGAATTAACATATAAAAAGGAAAAAAATTAAAAAATAGGAAATACCTAATAAAATTATTTAATTAAATACATCTATAATAATATTAATTATTCTTGTCTTATTAACGTATAATTCCAATTCAAACAACATTTTAAATATAAAAAATATAATTTTAATAAAATCTCATCATAAAATATTTTCTATAAAAAAATTGACTGAAATTTAAAATTCAAGATGATATATTATTTGATATTTTTTTATCAAAAATATATTATTGGATACTTCTTCATGTTTGCACGATTTAAATTGATATTTATATTTTAATTTAAATTAATACTTTAAACTTAACCTCTTACACATACTTTATTCTTAAAAATATTTTTTTTAGCAAACAGGTACCTAAACTATACCACTCTATTATTTAGGTACTTTAAAAAACACCACATGCTTGTTTTGGTAATAAAGATCTTGATGGAACTATTGGGAGGAAAACAAAAGCAAGCAAACCTCTTTCATTTGTGATAACAAAAGAAAAAGGCATCCGCAATTGTAATAATACATAAAACATTTATAATCATTGATCAAATCAAGATGAATGAAAATATAGAAAAAGCATGCAATTCTGGTGGATAACTCCTAATGTACATTCTCATGTTCATGGTGCATTCATCTTCTCAGTTACCATGGTGCTATTAGCAGCCAAGTGTAAACTAAGATTTTTCCTTATTTTCACCATGAAACTTCCTCCCTGCTTCAACAGCTTCCCTGTAAATTTTGCAAAATTAATCAAAGAAATTTTATATATATATATATATATACAGCCAACACATAAATTAAACTAGAACATTTTAGTTGCCTACGATCCTATATTACTTGGACTTGGGTGTGAGTGTCGGACATGCATGTATCATGTCAGTCAAAGAAATATAGCTACGCATACATACAACAAGAATGTTCCTTTATCGAGATAATTCAAGATGTTCATGTTCATTTGGCATATAGCATTCATATTCTTATTTTTCAGGGTCGAGAAGATAAGGCGATGAGATTACAAACCTAAAAGCAGTTACGAGTTCTTTACTTTCAGGGTTGAGCTGCACACCCTCATAAAAGGCATTGGCTGCTTCATCATATTTCTGCAGTAAAAAGGAATGGCCGAAAATGGTCAGATAACAAGAATGACAATAGTAGAAACTTCGACAAATAGGCTAATTGATAGTAACATGCCTGCAACAAATGCAGGGCGGCACCTTCCCGATAGCAAGCTTTTGGCCAGTCTGGTCTTAATGCTCTGCAAGCCTTTGCATCAGAAAACGCCTGCTCAGGTTGTCCCAAGAGAATCCAACAAAGGCTCCTATTTGAAAACAACCTCGCATCAGTTGGATTGAAATCAATTGCCTGTAAATGCATCAAACAGAATACATTATACCACATGATTAAGACACATAAGATCCACCAAATGCCAGAAAACTCAGTTTCCTTCCTGTAATGTACCAGGCTTAGAAATCAGTGCTAGCATATGTGGTTTCATATCGGTTGATAGGAAAAGAACCGAAAAGCAAAGTGGAAATATTGTTAATGAAATTGCACCGGATGAGATTACGCCTTACTTGTGTATATGCATCTACAGCTGTCTGAGAATCTTTTCTTTTGAAAGCCTCATCTCCTCTTGACTTGGCTTCTGCAGCTTTCTGCTTTGCTTCAGGCGCCACCTAGATATATCGTTTAAGATTTTATGAGAATAATACATATGTTCTTTCATTACTTCAAACTCTCAGATATAATATCAAATATAGATTCGAAACAGGAAAACTACAAAAGCAACGGCTAACCACAAAGAAAAAAACCATAGAATAGAATGAAGAAGACACCTCAGGAAGATCCCTTGTAGGCAATGTGGTGTCCCTTGTTCCCATAGCTTCCTTCAGATTTTTCATTTCCTCCTGCACAATTCACCTCGGAGAAAAACTATGAACAAATACCGTATATAAACATTTGCATTCGAAGAAAAATACGAAAGTTGCACAAAGTAGTACAAGTGGTTGCAATCCACTTAAATTTGATTGATACTAAAAAGTAACTCCAAGCAATACCAGCCAAGTTTTTCATTAGTAAGGGATTTCCTCTTCCATCTGATAAGATATGTAATCAATTTCTTAGCACATCTAGATATCAGCTGAAATGCATTCTTAAGTTCACCGTACAAAGATGTAATTGGTTGAATTTTTTCATGTTGTCCATGTGAGACTTGAAAGGGACATGAAAAGAACAGATGACGAACACTTCCTTAAAAAGCACAATATCAAATGAAAATAGGAGTAAAAAAATAAAGATAAATGGTACCAGTTGTTTGCTAGCTTCAGATTGCATGTATTCAAGAATCCCATCTACTGTCCACTCTGGAATGACGTCAATCCTTGATGTTAAAGGAAAAAGAATCTCGACAGCCTTACGTTGACCTCTGGCTGCAGCAACCTGTATGGGCTTCTCTCCACCCTATTATGAGATGTGCAAATAAGAAATGGAGAATAAAACTTCTGCTCAAGGTTCCAGTTCAAAAAGAAAAGATGAGCTGCTTTAAATAACAGTATGGTACTGCACCAGATACGTAAATGTAACTTCATACTTCCTTACTAGTAAATTCATACAGATCAACAAAGGGTCCTTTAAAGCAAGATGACGATTATTGTCCGAAAAATGAATGCATTAGTGATCTCACCTCATCAGTGACATTAGGATCAGCTCCAGCTTTCAGTAAGCTGTTTATTAATTCCGGGTTTCCATGATCTGCCGCAATGTGCAATGGGGTTGTGCCACCAGCTGTAATATTTACTTTGGCACCGGCCTGAATGTGAGGAAATACAAAAGTTTCATCTTGCAAGCATTACATAGTAGAGAACTAAGAAAACACGAAACCTGAATCAGCAAATCCAAGCATGCAAGTGAACCTGCTGCTACAGCTGACAATAATGGGGTGACATTATCCTCAGTTTCAGCATTAGGCTGCGAAAGCAATCATAATAAACAGAAAAATATTAAATCACATTTAACAAAACTATTAAAAACAAGAGCCTCAAAAGAAAACAAAGAAATTATCTACTTATAATTTCCATAGTATCGTATTAAAGTATTATATAACATGCAAAGGGGACATACATTAGCATTATGCTCTAACAAAACCTTTACAGCATCGTGTTGACCATGGCCAGCAGCCCAAACTAAAGGGGTGCCCGCATCACTTTGAGAATCGACCTCAACGCCCATAGCCAGCATATGCTTCAGCAACTCAATATTCCCTGCAAGAAAAGAAGTAGTGAATTTGAAGTAAGAGTTCACAAAGATTACTTAAGAAGAAAATTATTAAGGAACACACAAGGTAAAAAGAACACACCTATTCCAGCTGAATGATGCAATGCTGTGGCACCTAAGTCACTGGGTATAGAAGGATTCGCACCGCGTTCTAGAAGGTATTTTGCGGTGAGAGTATGACCTTGTCGTGCAGCATGAAGAAGAGGAGTCTCACCTGGATTTTTAAGTAATTTAAGAATGTAAATCAAAACATCTTTAGTTCACAAAAAACAAAGTACTGAGAATATTTTGGCCATGTATGCTGTAAAAATTCAAATGCATACCATCTTCATCTCCGGTGTCAACATCAAGCTTTAATTCTTCCAACAAGAATCTGCACACTTCAGTCTTGCCCTCTCTTGCTGCGAAATGAATTGCCCCTCGTTTGTTCGCATCCTTAATATCCGCCACTGTTTTCGCCAGTCCCTTCCCGTCATCAAGTTGAGCCGCAATCTCTACTCAAAACAATCATCCAAAGATTAAAAAAACATTTTAGATTAACATTTAACTATTGGTATACTAAATTAAAGACAAAACATGAATTGACTTACTCTTGAGCAGATCAAGATTCCCAGTGCAAGCTGCATTCAAAAAGTTTTGAACTTTCTGCCTCACTGCAATAAAAAAAAATTCTCAAATTCAAACTCAAAACTATTGAAATTTTTGCTTTCAGAACACAAAAAACAGAATAAAATTCTTCAACCAAACTACATTTAACCCAGAAAATGAATCCCACTAAATTATGCAATTTTTTTGCCCCAAAAGCCAACAAAGAACAATGCAAAGCTGAGTGCATAAAACACAAATGGCATAATAAAGTGGGAACCTTCAAGGGCAGCTGAAGCATCAGGAGCCATGGCTACTGTTGCCTTTGTAAAACCCTATGCAGAATGCTTTCTATTTTGTATAGCTTTTTGGTGGGTTTACTCTTCAAGTAGAAAAAAGTTGCGAACTTGAAATATTGGCTAGAAAGATGTTGCTGGATCTTATAGGGCAAACACTTCACAAGAGTTCTAATATTTGCCTTTGTTTCGGGTAAAATACAATAGAGATTATAAATTATTCTCAAATGATCATTTTATCTACTAAAAGTTAAAAGGTTATGAAATGGTCATTAAATTTATCAAACTATTATAAAATGATCAATGCATATTATAATATATTGTAAAATTTTAATAAATTCATTGACCATTTTTAAAGTTTTGATAAAATGTAATGATAATTTTATAAAAAAATCGACAAAGTTAATGATTTTTTGTAATCGTTAAAACATTTTAATGATTATTTTATAAAATTTAAAACTTTAATGAGTAAAATGATATTTTAATACAGTTTAATGACCTCAACATACTTTACCCTTTGTTTATAAAAAACTTGTATGGTATGTAAAACAAATATGATTGAAGAACACAGATCTAAAGTTATTATTTCAACTAATGATATCTATCCAACAGTTCATAGTTTTATCTTTCCGGGGCCGAACATGGCCTGGTGTTGTTTTACATATCTTGACACAAAAATTTGGAAGAATTTCCATGGCTAAAAGACCTCGAAATGCTTCACCATTTCCCTTCCTGTTACATCTTCGGCTTTACCCTCGTCTTCTCTGACTATAATCTCTTTTGCTTCCCCGCCCTCCGGATGGACGAGAGATCAGACGGGTTACTTTCTATGTATTTTCTATTGATAATAAATTTTCGTCTTTAAAACCCTATAAATTCGTCATCTCCTAAAATTTTTAAAATCCGTCTCTTGAGGTGTAAAATCTTGGGTCCGTGCCTTCCTTTTTCTTCTGCTTCTATGCAAACAATCCAACCCCCAACATTTTTAATATGATTGCATCACGGAACATGCCACAGCCTGCGCCCAATGCCTTAGCTTTGTCTTCACTAGCTGAGGATCTTCCCCTGCAAAAAACAAATAGCACCACATTTCTTATAATATATATATACAGACACGTATGTATATATGTATGTATATACATATGTACGTATGTATGTATGTATGTATGTACGTACGTACGTACGTACGTATGCATGTATGCATGTGTGCATTGAAACATTACCTGGGCTACAAATCATCCAATCCGACTCACTTCGAGGACTTCCGAAAGAAGATGACCGATCACCGAGTGATACTGTTGACGACGAGCTTTGGCTATGAGGGGTCGAAACTGGACTCGGAGAAAGCTGGCGGTTCACGGCGAAATAAAGGTCTAGAGCAGGCAGTGTGCTCGTTAATTTTTGGCCATCTTCTTCGTTGAATCCAAATCCGAGCTCTATGCACCCTTTTAGTTCTTGCAGGTCTTCACCAGTCAAACTATTATTATCACTGATCCAATTCTTTTCTCTTTCTTGACGAAGAATCTCGAGGCGCCTTCTTTCCCAAGCAATGTCCCGGGACGTCTCGACCATCGATAACTGCTTCGACAGATATATCTTGTTCTTCATCAATGGTGACGGCACCAATGACATCCGTTCCAAATCTTCTGCGTCTGAGTCGCATAAGGACGTTGACAACGATGAAGATGATGACGATGACGATGTGATGGCCTCGCTTCTAAGCTTTCTGTCCACCATTTCCTTATGGAAAAAGAAACAAACGTTGTTTTCTCAAAAGGAAATACAAGTTTTTGTACCGATTTTCTTATCTGCACCAATGGGGATACCAGGCATGCCACTAAAACACAAAACGCTTCTTGTTTCTCGCCCGTAATCGAACGGAACGTGAACGAAAGCCCGTTTTCTCACCCTCTAATCGGCTGCAGAAGCAACTCGAGCTAATGCGGCCGAGCAACAACAGAGAAAAAAAAGTGAAGGGATGAGACCGAGCAAGTTCTGAGTTCTGTGTATTTGTTTGAGGCTTTAATGGATGAACAAAACGTATGGAATTCGTTAAGGAAGATTCAGTTTGTTATTCAACATTCCATTTGTAGCTGTTGGTTGTAACCTCCACAATGTTATATTTGGACCAAAGTTCTTCCATGTCTGTTGCACTGTATTCTACTACAAGTTTCTGTTCTTACTAGCAACAGATTGATACCAGGTAACTAAAAGAAACCATTATGTTCAACAGAATCAAGTAAATTTGTTGAAATAAAAAAAAAGTTCATAAAAACACATCAAGTAAATTTACCAACAGAATAATACATTTTGATACCAGATGACTAAAAAAGCATTATGTCCAACAGAATCAAGTAAATTTAGGGTTCTTTTCTGTTTTCTTTTTTGTAAGAATGTTCAACTTCCTGAATTGTTTGTGTTTCCATGGAAGAATAGAGATTATTTAATGTAATAAACTTTAAGACCAGAGAATGCAAGGGAGAATCAAACTAGGTTAGGGCATAAGGAGAAACATCAAAGATTTGGTGTTTTTCCTTGCCATTTTCTAACACCATGAAAGAAGGACAACATTCTTGGCTATCTATTGTTTGGTTTTGTCTCATCTGCAATGCCTTTGTTCTTGTTTCAAGCCAGCCATTGGCTTTGAACTGCAATTCCAAGGGTGGCAAAGATGAAGATGGAAGAAAGTGGGAACCGGATGAGAAGTACCTTAAATCATCCAATGGTTCAACCCTGGTTCAAGCTGGATATCAAGACCCTTCCCTTCTTTCGAAAATCCCATACATGAATGCTCGAATCTTCACGTCTCTGGCGACGTATGAGTTCCGGATAAAATCGGAGGAACGGTACCTGATCAGGTTTCATTTTTACCCTTCAGGTTACTCCAAATTCAATATCAGTAATTCATATTTCTCTGTGACTGCTGGTGGAGTCACCCTGATGAAGAATTTCAGTGCTGAAATCACATGTAAAGCCCTCACACAGGCTTATCTCGTTAGAGAGTACTCATTGGCACCTTCGGATTCCAAGACTCTAACCATTACCTTCACACCTTCTAAGAACTACACCAACTCTTTCGCATTCATAAACGGGATCGAATTGATCGCCATGCCGAATCTGTTCGGCATGACGGGTATGGTGGGATTGGGATATCTAAAGGAAATCGATGTTTCGCTCGAGAATCTCCAGGCGATGTTCAGGCTGAATGTTTGTGGACAGACTATTCCTCCTAGCAAAGACTCTGGTGCTATGTATAGGATTTGGTATAATGATGACCCTTACATTTTCGGTTCTACATTGGGTATCTGTACTGGGGCGCCAAAAGATTTAAAGATCGATTACGGAAAGTCGTTGCGTTCTACGGCTCCCGAAGATGTTTATCGGACGGCTAGATCGATGGGAGAAGATGCGGGACTGAACACGAAGTTCAACCTGACATGGATATTTCAGGTTGATGCCAATTTCATATACGTTGTAAGATTTCATTTCTGTGAGTTCGTATATGACAGCCCGAATCAAAGAGCTTTCAATGTTTACATCAACAATAAATCTGCACAAGTTGCACCACATCCGGTTGATTTAATTGACTGGACACGCAAAAAAGGTGCTCCAATTTACAAAGATTATGCAGTACATGTTGCTGATGGTCCAGGTGATGCAATGATTCTGATACAAATGACTCCGGCGACCGAAATGAAAACGCAGTTCCATGATTCTCTGCTCAACGGGGTTGAAATATTCAAGTTGAACGACGGAAACAAGAACTTGGCCGGACGCAATCCGCACCCGTCGTCCATGCTTCTTAAAGCGGTGACAGAGCAGGAGAGGTCTTTCGACACCAAATCCGACAACAATAATGCTGTAATTGCAGGTGCTGCAGCAGCTTTTGTGCTGGTTGCATTGACGGTTTTGGCCTCCAGGAAGAGGAAACAAGAGGCTGGAGTCGAGGCGCATACGTCTAGCTGGTTACCGGTTCGTGGGAACTCCCATTCAAATGAAAGCAAAGATGGAAAGAGTCATAATAGCCACGCTTTGGCATTGGCTCAAGGCCTTTCTCGCCATTTCTTCATATCGGAAATCAGACAATCCACGAAGAACTTTGACGACTCTAACGTCATCGGAGTCGGAGGTTTCGGTAATGTGTACAAAGGAGTTATCGACGGAGGCACCAAGGTGGCTATCAAGCGATCCAATCCGACATCTGAACAAGGCATTAACGAGTTCCAAACCGAAGTCGATATGCTTTCGAAGCTGAGACACAAGCATTTGGTCTCGTTGATTGGTTTCTGCGAGGATGGTGGCGAAATGTGCTTGGTTTACGATTACATGGCTCTCGGAACTTTAAGGGAACACCTTTACAGCAACGAGGAAGCTCATCTTTCATGGAAACAGAGGCTGGAAATCTGCATTGGAGCAGCAAGGGGACTTCACTATCTCCACACAGGAGCCAAGTACACCATCATTCACAGGGATGTAAAGACAACAAACATTCTCTTGGACGAAAAATGGGTTGCCAAAGTTTCCGATTTCGGGCTGTCAAAAACTGGTCCCGAAATGAATCAAGGCCATGTAAGTACAGTCGTAAAAGGTAGCTTTGGTTACCTTGACCCCGAATACTTCCGAAGACAACAACTCACGGAGAAATCCGACGTTTACTCCTTCGGCGTCGTCCTATTCGAGGCATTATGCGCTAGGCCAGCTCTGAACCCTAAACTTCCGAAGGAACAAGTCAGTCTTGCAGATTGGGCACGCCATTGTCACAAGAAAGGAACACTAGAAGAGATCATCGACCCTCATCTGAAAGGGAAAATAAAACCGGAATGCCTAAAGATATTCGCAGACACGGCGGTGAAATGCCTATCCGATCAGGGAATCCAGCGGCCTCACATGGGCGACGTCCTGTGGAACCTCGAATTCGCTCTTCAGATGCACGGAACCACAGAAGCATCAACCGAGGCAGAGTGATCTTCAATTGAATCAAAGAACTTAACAATCAAAGTGCCATCTTCTCTCAACTTGTACAAGAATCCTGTGTTGATTAAACTTGTTTAAATTTACAGTACAAGAATCCCCATTGTTCTTCAGTGATGATCAAACAATGTTCAGTGAAGGTTTAGTCTCAACAATAATGCAGAGGTTAAAATCTTTTGTCATTGCAATGTTCATTTCCTCCAACTTTAACAATTATATTGTATTTATATTATGTTTACATCCATACCTAAGAATAGATTAAACTGTTGAGTTGTTTAGCTACTTGAATTGTTTTCCCTTGAAACTTCAACGAGGATGTTATGGTTTGATTATAAAAGTTTATGATTATTAAACAACGGTCCGTTATTAGAATAGAAGATGCTATATGATTGGTGACAGTATCGTCCCAAATTATTATTGCACGGTTGTAATATTTATAATGACCGTAATAACATCCGGTATACAATATATGCAATTGTCTACCCTCGGGTTGTATGATTCTTCTATGAGTGAGTTGTAGGGATGTTTCAAGTTGTAGTTTGGTAATAAGCTGATTTCTGCTACTAGCAGCAGTATATGATTAATGTAACGGGTATATGATCTACATGAACGGCACAAGATATTATATCAAGAGATAACTTATAAAAATTTTAAAAAATAAAAAATATTATCAATAAAAAAATATAAAAATTAATTAAATTAAATAATAATTTGAAATTTCTAAAATACGACCGCACTATGAATTTCCTTGATCCATATATAATCCATATCTGATTATATATTCTGTACCTGAGCAGAAGCATGTGTTCAATTTGAGATAGTCTTGCAAAATATAATTATTAGTGCACGCCTTAATATTGACCAACTCCAACTTCACTTCATCTTCAAGCCTCCATATTTGGCAATATATGTAACACCCTAATTCAGTTAGATCCGAAGATATATTGATTACAATGTTACACGGGACTATCGAAATAATGATCCAAAATTTTCTTTTAAAACTGTTTGTAAATCTCTGAAATTTAGACATTCATAATGTAATATAAAAACATAATAATAAATTAGGTTTACAAATAATGTGGAGCTCCCAAAATACATCCACAAAATAATACAAAATAATAAATTTTAAAAGAGTTACGGCTGAATACATAACAAGGTCCATAACAGTACATGCGCTTTAAAGATGACTCAAGACGTACTCTAAAAGGTCTTTAGAAATCTGAATCGATTGCACCAGAATATTTGATGACGATAGCTCCCCACGATCTGCTCCCTAAGAACCTGCGCACGGAACCACATTTCGAACGCTGAGCTTACGAGCTTAGTGCCTCACTAAAAATTGTACTATACAATATGCATTCACTAAATGAAATGACAAGTGGCATAGGCCTGAATATACAACTACTGGATTGCTAATTTGTGGTTGGCATCATGGTGGGGTTGAGAGATTCTGCATCTCGGAGCTCATGCACCACTCTAACACTATCGAAGCACCATTGGGTACTCTTGGGTCAAAACACATTGAGTTTCGGTTAAATTGCCATCCCTACTCCTTAAGTTGGAACTATGTGAATGAATCCTTATATATATATATATATATATATCAATAAATGAATCAGACTTTTTTGGCCCAATAGGGTTTTAGAATTAAAAAAAAGAGGTTTTTATTTATCCTCAACTTCTAATTAGAGATATACGGCATTTGATTTACTGTCGGGCGAACTGAAAATGTATTTTTTAATGAACTCGGATGAGTGGGTCCCACATGGGTCATTAATTTATTATTTTTAAGCGGACTCGTGGGCAACTATTATAGTCACTTAGAACTCGAGGTGACGAGTTCCATCGGATTTTTGCATTATAGTCGTTGGAGTTGAGGCTATAAATAGGGTTTGGGTTTTGATTTTTCATCAAACCCTAAATCCAAAAAAATATAAAAATCCTACCTTATGTGAAAATCCTGAAAAATGGTTTCTCAAGCAGACATGTTGCACCTCGACAACGTCCATATTTCGTCGATTGAACTCCGACCGGAATAAGAACGGAGTATTCATCAGCGCAGGAAGACTTCGAGAGATTCGCATCAGTGGATGTTGATATATCTTTAGTAATTTGGTCTATTTCCAACCATATTTTTACGTGGCTTCAAGGTGTACCAAACATTGATTGAGGCTCTGATCGAACGTTGGCGACCCGAGACATACACTTTCCATTTCTCGAGTGGTGAAGCGACGATTACTTTGGAAGACATCGCTTACCAACTCGATGTTCCTGTGAATGGAGCTCCCATGTTGAGGTGGAACAATTACGACCCTAGGACGTTGGTTTACCAAGTTTTGGGAAAGTTGTCACCATCCGTGTTCATCGATGACTATCGGGTACGGATGATGTGGTTGGAGTCTGAATTCCAAGTGACAGTCAACTTTATCGAGGACGAGGTTATTTTTGCGTTCTGAGCATATCTTTTCCAACTGATCAGAGGGTATTATTACTGGATAAATTTGGTAATTTGGCGCACACTGTGTATCTCCAAATATCAAATGACATCACTCAATACCAGTTGGGGCTCGACGATTTTAACCTTTTTTGTACCGGGAGATTTGCAAGGCTGTAATTGTCGAGCGGAGTCAAAAAGTTGATGTAGCAAGCTGTCTAATATTGCTATAATCCTGAGCTTGGTATCGATTTTCTTTTTTGACACTGATTACAACAACTCTCTTGTTGAAAGGTAATTTTTTTAACTTTTTTTTTTAAATTTGATTAACTTAATTATTATTTTATTTGTTTTTAATCTTTTTTATTTTTAAATATTTTAGATGATTCTATAAAATAACCGAGACGAAGTTGTTGGGCGCATTGCAAAAGATATACGAATGAAGATTGACATCGTTGGTCAATATATGATAAACATTTGTTCTTTTATTATTTTTTTAAAACTTTTAAACTTTATATATATTAGCTTTGATATTTAATATTTACAATTTTATTGGCTTCTCGTATGCTTACGACGAGGGGTATTATTACCGGATAAATTAGGTAATTTGGCGCACACTGAGTATCTTCTAATATTAAATGACTTCACTGAGTGTCGCAATACCAGTTAGGGCTCGTCAATTTTAGACTTTATGTACCGGAAATTTTGCAAGGCTGCAATTGTCGAGTGGAGTCGAAAAGCTGATGTAGCAGGCTGTCTCATATTGCTACAATCCTAAGCTTGGTATCGGTTTATGTTTTTGACGCTGATTACAATAACTCTCTTGCTGTAAGATAATTTTTTAAACTTTTTTTTTTAATTTGATTAGTTTAATTATTATTTTTATTTGCTTTTAATATTTTTTTAAATATTTTAGATGACACTATAAAATAACCTAGACGAAGTTGTCGGGTGCCACTACAAAAGATGTACGAACGAGAATTGACATCATTTGTCGATATTCGATATACATTTGTTATTTTATTATTTTTTTAGAAATTTTAAATTTTATAAATATTAACTTCGATATTTAATATTTATAATTTTCTTGGTTTTCGTATGCTGACGACGAGATTTTCATTAGAAACCTTGGATCTTTAACCTAAAAATTAAATCAAATTCCATAGAAATACATTGAGCAAAAATCAATCTACATTAGTTTAAAATCAACTCAAAAACACAATCCCAAACTCTCATTTTCACTTGAAACTACCTACTTCCCTTTAAGCCTTCACGATCCGCACCTTATCCGAAATCCCAATCTCAACCGTTGATAACAATCCAATCCAACGGTCAACGTTTAAAATTTCGAATGGAGAAATCGATCTGCGTCACTTCCTTTTCCACCACTTAGCTTTCTCTATTTCCCTTATAAACTTCCGTCTCTTAACAGCCATCGAGTAAAATCAACATAATACAAAACAAAAGAATTCCAAGTCTCTTACGGCTCGTAAGATTGTTTTGCAGAATCATGGCCGCCGCTACTGCCTCTGCCGTGGCTCCCGTCGCGAAGAAGAAAGCTGCTGGGGCTAAGAAGCCGAAATCTGCTTCTTCTCATCCTCCATTTCTCGATGTATTTTCTCCCTCTAGAAACCCTAGATAATTCCATCTTCGTGCTTTTCTTCGGATTTTAACTCGAATTTCTGTGATTATCTTTTTGCAGATGATTTCGGATGCAATCCTTTCGTTGAAAGAGAGAACCGGATCGAGCCAGTATGCAATTGCGAAATTCATTGAAGAAAAGTATAAGCAATTGCCCTCGAATTTCCGAAAGAATTTACTTGTTCAGTTGAAGAAGTTCGTTGCTTCTGGAAAGCTCGTCAAGGTCAAAGCCTCCTACAAGCTCCCTGCGGCCTCCGCCGCTGCCAAGAAGCCTGCAGCCGCGAAGCCTAAAGCTGCCACCTCCGTTACTGTGAAATCGAAGCCAAAGGTAGTGGTAAAATCTGCTGCAAAACCGAAACCGAAACCGAAAGTTGCAACTCCTGTTAAGTCAAAGGCTAAAGTTGCGGCGAAACCTAAGGCTAAGGCTAAAGCTAAAACTAAAGCAGTGACTAAGCCATCTAAGGCGGCGAAGACGGCCAAAACAAGTACGCCGGCGAAGAAGAATGCCGTGATGGCGAAGAAGCCTAAGAGCGCGAAATCGCCGGCTAAGAAAGCGGCCAAGAAGGCGAAGAAATGAGGTGGATTATTTGTTTGTTTGCAAGGAAGTTGTAATTTTGGTGGGGAAATAGGGGTAGTTTTGGAATTGTGGACTGATACGTCTATATAAATATTTATCTAGTGTATTTTTTGTAGGTTGTTTTTATGACTTCATAAATTATGGTGTAATCTGAGCTTTGACGAGGTAGTTAAATGAGAAATAGCAGTTGATCTTAGAACAATTATTTTTAATGTCAACAAAATATGATTAAATATCAATTTTACACTTATCTACATTTTGGGGTTTCATAGACGCTAATAATGTTATCAGACTTGGGGTGCAAATTTTTAAATGTTGTTATTGGCTTAGTATGTGTTATTAATCTATTTGGAATCCAATTTAGTACATAAATTTCTAATTGTATTATCCCCCTACAGATGTTAAATATTTATTATTTTTGTTTTTGGATGTTTATAGAAGATAAAAATTTATTAAAATAGAAATCTTTCAAAAATTCATAACAATATTATTTCATTAAAAAAAATCAAACAAAAGCAATGGGATAGAATCTGAGTTAAAGAAAAATAATGCAATATTTATTTTCTTCCCTATAATGATATCATATAAAATTATTAAATTTAATATTAAATCAAATATTAAAGTGTTGAAGTAGATTATCTATTAATTAATAGTTTTATTTAATTGTTACTTAACTTTAATCATCAATTCATTTGTATCAATGACTTTTAATTTTATCAGTTATAATATTATTACATTTAATTATATCACTTCGTTATTTTTATCATTGAAGTCTTTAAATTGTTTTCTTCGTTGGCAGTCAAGCACTACATGTTATCGATTACATTTTAGGATAAAGTCAATATCAAAATGTTCATATTTCATTCATTTTTTTTATATAATTGGCTTTTATGATTACTTACGTCTTTAGAAGTATTTAAATGTTCATTATCAAATAATTTAAAATTTATTAAACAAATATTACATTATAATCACTTTAGTTTAATAAAAAAATTTAATCAATTCCATTGAAAATAAGCAGCACAAGAACTTCAAATATTTTTTTTTAATGTTTGTGTGAATCTTAACAAAATACATATTTGTGAATTTTAAAATCATATAATATTAAAACTTCTAACATGGTAGATAAATGAGTCCATAATTCATTCTATCCAAGATATTCATTCTCAATTCTAACTAGGTTTTTAATAATCAATTTCTTTAAAAACAAGCAACATAAGAACTTCAATTTTTTTTAATGAACGTCTATATGAATCTTAACAAACAATATATACATGTGTGGGTTTTATCTTAAATCAATTAATGAAAAATAAATTTAAAATTATTTTTATAAAAATAATTACTAACCGATATGATATATTGTTTCTTCATACTATCAAGAACTTTATGGTTAATATTAATTATAATTTTTTTTTCATTTTTCAAATTATTAGATCGTGTCAACACAAATACAATTAGGGGCAAGCATTAGATCGAGTCGAGTAAAAAACGTTTCAAATTATTCGAGTTGACAAATCATATTTTATGACTCGAATCTAACTTGAATTTTTTTTATTCGAGTTGAGACGAGTCGAATTGTTCGAGTTTGTATACAAATTTAATTGTAATTATTTATAATATAGTACGGATTGATTCTAATTTTTTGACTTTCTATAACCATATAAGATAAATATATATATATATATATATCACATTATAATGTTTTTAATATATCAAATACAATATAAAATTTTAAAATATATTTACAATATTTTAAATAATGCATTTTGAAGGTAAAATATTGATGAGGGTATAAAGGAGTTAAGTAATTGATGAGAAGAAAAAATTTGCAAATAATTGCAGTTAAATGATCAAATTGAATAAAATATAAAGTTAAGAGATTAAACTATATATATATATATATTAGTAACAAAATAAGAATTGAAGTTACATAGATATTCTATAGTGGTATATAAGCATGTAGTTCAAATTTATTAAGAAAAACATACTTAAAATAAAAGAATACATTTCACATAATCACAAACCACTTCTTTTAAAATAAAAGAATACACAAATCATTGCTGCTGACAAGAAGACAGCCTGAATTCCTTTCATGACATCCATTGGAACTCGAGAAATTCAAGACCACTTCACCGGTTATGAGTTCTCGTGATGCTCATGACTGAACGGCGAGCTTCGTAGGAGAATATTTCGTCGAATCCTTTACCCTTTTCACTCCATCTTTCAACTTTCCACCTCCATTACTCACCACTCCATTTTTCTGACCATTACTTTTGAGCTCATTTGCAGAATCGGGTCGTTCTCTATGGTTACCGAAGCTGTGGCAGTGACCCCCGCAGCAAGCTTTCGGCGTTTCTTCCTCGGATAAGTGGACCATATCGCCACAGCTCTTTCTTCGGGTAAGTTTTGGTGACTTTGGCCGAGTTAATGGCAGCTGAAATGAAATAAAAGCAGGAATGAATGTTTCATCATCCACCAAAGCTGCATGAAATTACGAGGCCTCAACATGAGAAAAGGTTCAACAGAATACCTTCTTCAGTTCAACCTTCGGTGCAGGTCCTTCGTAGTAGAAACGAGGTACCGGATTTGCTTTGACGAACAAGCTCTTTCGCAGGTGCTTAAGTTCTGCTTCTTGTTCTTCCTGCTTAAGGGCCTCATACTGCTGTCTCTCGGCCTCCAGAGCTTGGTGTTTTTGTTCTAACTTCTGGTAAAACTGGATTGACAGAAAAATATAAACATTGTCAATTGTTTGATCGAACAGAATGCGGATACCGATTGTTTGATTGAAGAATGTACCTCCTTCCGTCTCTCAGCACGTTCAGCGCTTCTAAATGTTGGAGCGGTCCCAATTGTTAACTTTGATCTAGAAGTTCGAACAGATGCTGTAGTTCTAAACAAAGCTAAGGGTAATTCAATTAAAACAAGAACAGATAACTACAATACAAGTACACAACAAACCTTTCTGCTAGAATAGTTTGATAAATGAAAGAGAGTTTTGACAGGGAAGTCCCTCGACAATAATTAAAAACATAACTGCAAATAACATCGAATAGAGGATATGAGGAAGCGACAGACCAATTATCCTCGTCATCAGCATGCTTCCTTGTCATCAGAGTAGTCTTTGGAGAGTTTGTCTGAAACAAATGTAGAAATCTAGAAGATCAGCACCTACTGAAGATAAAAAGATGAAAGGCTCTAAGTGACTGTCATCCTCTTACCGGTCGAGCCTCTCGTATAGACTGAAACATGTTCAAATCTAAAAATCCATATGGTATTCACATGTTCAATTCGAGAATCAAAGTTACCTCAGAATCTTTAGTACGGGAAGGTGTAGATTCGGAATTTGTGGTGCCATTTCCACCAGCTTTGGAGGGACTGAGGTGTGCTTTATTATTTCCACCACCAGGGGATTTCAATGCAGTGGTGTTTAACTTCTTGCCATCAGTGCCTTCTGAAATTCCCGGATTACCATTTGAATGCACCGCACCGGTTGGCTTATTGGCCATGCGCACACCTGTGACTTCCCTCCCCATTACACTACATTAGACATAAGCTAAGCATCAGAATGGTATGAAAACACATTAAGCTTAACAAGATACACAACATTCAAAATAAACATGCACATGAAAACAAGTTCCCATGAAAACATGCACATGAAATCCTTTCACTTTGTTTTCAACCTTGGGATACAACAAAAAGGTTCCCATAGAAGAACCTGGAAGAGGGTTTATGGAATCACATGGCACATGAAATGAAACCTTAAAATACAAAATTATAAGGAATTTAGGACACTATTTTAGTATGCAAAGATGTCTCCTTCACAGAAACAGAAAAAGGAAAAGAGAAATGAAGATCCGTGAAGCAGAGGAGTGAGTTACCCAAAAGAAATTTATTTATTAATTTTTAGACCAAATCAAAGAATCCTTCCAAGAAAAATGAAATGAATCATGCCACAGCAAAAACATGAGAGAAAAAAAGTTCAACAAATCCAAAAAACTTTTAGACCAAAAATTAACAACCAATAGAATGAAATCTTTTTGCAAGACTCATCATTTCTTGGGGGGGGGGGGAGAATCACAAGAAGCAAACATAATAACAAAAAGAAAAATACTCCACATTAAACTTGAGAGAGCTACAAGAATTCCGAAAATTTAACACTTTTAGTCCAAACTGACAGAACCCAGAATAGGAAAAACCTCAAATTCAACAGTCTTCGTTTCTTAGAGAACCTTCACATGAAAAAAAAGAACACGATGAGCAAGAAAAAACCCAGAAAACATGATGAGAAAGAAGAAATATACATTGAAAAGTTGGAAATCAATTAAACGGATCATATCCACATTGGTTTTATTAAAAGGAAAACACCAAAACTCAAAAAAGATAAGAAGTTTGTTATAGGTATAGACTTACAGTTTCTTTTCGAAGCTTGATCTGAGAAGAGCTTGAAACCCTGTTTCTCCCCCACCTCCTCCCTCTCGTTTTCTTTCTTTACAGATTCTCTCTCACTCTCTCCTTCTCCCCTATCTTAGTCTTAATAACAGACGGTTTTCCTTATATTTAGCTCTCTTTCAGCCTCAGAAAGCTGTGTTTTAAATTTTTCCTTCATAATGTCCAGTTCATGGTTATTTATAGGTGACCGTTTTTTCAGTTTTTACATGCTTACTTTAACGCCATCCTTTGTTGGTTTATACGATGTTAATTGTTTTAAATAAGAGTTTGTTTTTGAGTTATCTAAAATATTATTGAAAATGTTAAACCATAAAGTTTGTTTGACATATAGAAGATTATAATGTATTATTCACAGACTATAATTATTTGAAAACTAAATTTTATTAATTTTATGATATAATTTTTAATATTAAAGTAAAAATGTTCATTTGATAATTTATAAATTATTCATACACCATTTAGTTTATTGAACATATATAATATTAAATATTTTGATACATCGAATATTCATTTAAAATTAATATATAAATATAAAAAGCGTTGCATATGGTAGATATGTAGGTCACTTGGAAGCGCGTGCTTGATACGTTACGAAGACTTGTTATCATTCCTCTCCATGGTCAATGCAAAGTGATTTAAGCATACGCATTTAGGCACATTTCCTATATGATCCCATCAATATTGGGGGACCAATGCCTACATTCACAATAGTATATGGACCAAATTGAAACAAAGATTTAGGGAACATACTTGATTTGGAATAGTTTGTGATTAATATGTTAGGAGTTTGATTAACTGTTGGAATAATAATTTCTCCTAAAGGAGATGAAAGATTGTTCAACAATGAAAATATCGATTGTTTCGATATTAACAAATATTGATGTTAATCTGGATTTTTTTTTCATATGTTTCATACAAGATCATGTTTTCGACTGATCTTGGCTTTGGGTCTTCTTTAATATGTCAAATCTTCAGTTCATTAAAGATTTCGAGGCTAATTGTGATCATTTGTCCTTGCAAATGTTTGTAATAAATCTGTGGTTATAGATCTAAAATGTAACTTCAAAGATGGAACTTTTATTATTTCCAAGCAATTAAATGTGAAGTTTTATGATCATGGTCTAGCTTTGCTTCATGTTTCAGTTTTGTTTCCTTTTGATGCAGAGATACATTCAGCAGCATAATGAGGTTGAGCTTTCTGCCTTGGGCATGGGTACATTTCTCAGTTTTGTTTCTTAGCTGCAAATTATTGATTTCCTAATATTTTTACCTGTTTTGATGCTTCAATATCCATCTGGTTGTTCGTTGCCTATTCGCGTTTTCTGCTGCGAAAATCGATTCATTGTCGTAGCGCTTCCTGATTTTCCCACCTCAAACTTTTAATGCAGCAATCACTAGTGTCGTCACCATTGCTGAGGTCTTGAAGAACAATGGATTGGCTATTGAGAAGAGTAGGAATCATTTTTCTTTTCTCATCAAGCTTGGATAATTTGATATTGATTGTTTATGGAACGAAGCAGAAGTTTCGACATCAACGGTCAGCATGAATGACGAAAACAAATGGCGTGTTGTCCTAAAAGCCAAGGTGGGGTTTATATTCTTACAATCCATATAGTTTACTTTCTGGATTTGGTAGCTGAATTCATTCCGATCTCTAATTGCTCGCTGTTCCAGATCGAAATCGTGTTGGGGAAGTCGGACAAGTTCGACTTGCTGATGAATGCTTCCAATGCGGCACCGGAGACTGATACCAAAAACAAGGAATGACAACTTTAGTGCAGCTAAATATTTGATGTTCATTGTTGTAGTTCGATGTTCGAATTCTCCGTTACGTGTCTCTACCTTGGTTCTTGATAGTGCTTTCTAGCAGGAGTATAGGTAGGTATTGATCGAAACTTGTCGATTAGAGACAGCTTTTATAGAATGATATAAGAATGAGCAGTTTCCAGTTGTATGCTTCTCTCTGTTCTCTTCAAGTGTGGAGGGATCTATTACATTGTTTCTTTTTGAACTTGTATTTCTCGTTGTTAACACGAAAATCGATGATTGAATAGTCGATCTCACCCGAACTTTTCGTTCTTTTCTTATGTATCGGTGTCTTACGCGTAGCAAAAACATATTCGGATATGGTATATGAGGTTTGATCCTTCATATCAAACACTCAATCCAGAGCTTTCAAATGGTTCCAAGCTTCGAAAGCTTTTCTCATTATATTTATGTCTTGCTAATGTACTTTTTACCGTCACAAAGTAATGTGATGCTTTGTGTTTTCTGTCGTTTCCATGAACGGTGTTAATCGAATTTATCCAGCAATGGATTTAGTTTCCCATGATTTTCGTATATAGTATGTTTTCAACAATGGATTTAGTTAGATGAAGTTGGTGTCCATGATTACATGGTATGAAAATAGATGTGGATATCGTACATGACATAGAGACACACTTTACGTTTCTGCAGTCAAAATTTGTGTCATTTTTTAGTTTCCTAATACACAGATGCCTTGGGTTTTAAAAAGCATTTCCTGGCTCTATAAACCTTATTCAGGTTTTAATAGGGCACCGATTCGATACATTCTTCAGGAATGTCCGGTTGTCGTCGGCAACCTCTGTAGTCAATGGATTTGGAGGAATTTATTTGGTATGCCTGCTTGATAATCATGCTATCTGTTGTTTCTACCCTTTCTGCACTCTAAGAAATGCACTTTGCTTGTTTGAGTTGTACTTGTATGAAACCGGTCATGTGTCGAGTGTCGAGTTTTATTTCAGTAGTAAATACCATGGACATTCGGAATTGCTGTTGCCTTTGCCGTGGCTGGCAGTTGTACGGTTTGCCCTGTGCGCACGCTGTGGCAGCAATTCTCTCTTGCAGGCAGAATGTTCATCAATTTACCGGGAGCTGTTTCACTATAGCAACATACCGGAAGGCATATTCTCAAACCATTAATCGGATCCCAGATGCCAACCAAGCCGTTCAAGTTATCATTCATCCGATCGACCACAAAAGAAGCGAGTTCAAGCAGAAGATCGTGGCAGCAGGAAGCGAGTTGGGCATTGTAGCCGTTGCATCCATGGAGGATTTCATCCTCTCCCCTCAACACACTCTTGGAATTTATGTCCTTGTTCAAAAATTCATAATTCAGTTAGTTAACGGTCAAATCAATTTTCCAACAAGGACAGCTTTGTAACCTCAACTTGTCGTCATTGGTCGATCTCTCCTTCAACGCTTTTCCCGCCATTGGTCGGTCACTTGATTTCTTCACCGACCAACTCACGCCAATCATCAATACTACTAAAAAGTAACTATTTTTATTGTTCGACTCAAAGGCAGTGTTCTTGTTGCAATGAGCCATGGTTGCCAAAAGGCTATGCCAAAACATCAATGCGAACACGATCGACAGAGTTTCCAGCTTCAGGATTCGATATATCTTTACTGATTTCCATTGAACATGGTAAGTATGAGCAGAACAGAAGTGGCAATGTGTCTGCTTCGGTTAAAGCTACACATCGGAGAAAAAACAGGCCCGATCCATTGTCTCATGTATCATATAACTGATGCTTATAATAAGTTAGCTGTAGGTAGTAAAGGAAGACAAATATCTGGATTGCTTGTTGAACAATGTATTGGAAGAGATTCTTCTAGGCTTAGTGAAGATGTAAAGGTCTTATTGTCGCAATTATCTTCTCGAGGGATGGAACAATCGATGAACGGTGCAAGTCCGAGGATATCTATAAGTGGTGATGATTTAGAAGCATCTGATTCTTCTGCAATTAATGGAATAGAGATACTTCAACACAGGGTCTCACAGGAGAGAAATGAGTCTGGTTGGTCTATAGATGGAAGCATTGTTAGTGAAATCGAAGGCAAAAGTGTAGTCGATCGGCTAAAACGACAGGTTGAGCATGAATCAAGCAATGGACATGATTACTCGACTGCAAGAAGAGAAGGTGACGCTGCAAATGGAAGCCTTGCAGCACCTGAGAATGATGGAAGAACAAGCCGAGCACGATATGGAAGCACTACAAAACAACAACTTCCTTGCGGAGAAAGAAAAAGCGATTCAATATCTGGAAGCCCAGCTGGAGCTTTACAGGATGAAAGTCCCTAACGAATTCATGCCATATGACATGGTGAATCATTCGGAAGCTAATGGCATTGAAGAAAAGGCAAGCTTGCGTACAGATCAAGGTACCCAAAAAACTAACACCACGCCGCGGTTGAAGAAATGGAGAAGTCATTCGAGGACTGGATCAAGGTCACCATGAAGAATCCATTGTCTGGACATGAAAAAGGATACCATGAGGAACTCAATGCTTGAGGCCTAACTTAAAAACACTATAAAGGTGAGTGCTTTGATTTTCGTCTTTTATCTCGTTAATTAACCCAAAATCATTGGATTTTTAGCTAAACTTAGTGGTTTGATTTGAGTGATTGGGTTTTGTACAAGGTTGTGATGATTAAGTGTCAAGTCTAAAGTTAAGTTTGATATGATGAAATCAACCCAATAATGTTGTAAATTAGAATAGATCAACAAGTCCAAGTTTGTTTGTGATTGCCTTGGTTGTCATGTTTTTGCATTGGTCAAATTCTGCCATCGGTGCCTAACTTTGCATAAGTTTTGGATTTAATCTCTATACTCTGATACTGATAGTAGAATTTGGAGATACTAATTTAAATCTGCAACTTACATATAGGTATGATACTAATAGTAGAATTTGATTTAATGAATTTGGTGGTTAATGCTTGAATTAAAAAAAATATAGGGGCTAAAATAATAAAATTAGAGTATATAGACTAAATATGTAACTTGAGTATAGTACAAGGAGCTAACAATAACATAAAAGTTAGGCTTAATATAAAAATAAGTGTCTTAATTATACTTAAAATTAATTTTTGATGTCTAAAGAACTATATATACTCAATTGTTTAATATTAAAGCTTAACGTAAAATTAAGTATTTAAACTAATTACTTAAAGAATTTTTTTATTAAAATACATGTTTAATTTTTTTGTCACTACACTTTTAGGTTTCTAACATTTTCTCAATTATAATTTTAGGTGCTTACACAATATCGATCATTAAAAAATCGTTAGGTGACATGTGTGATGTTTATATTTTAACTTAATGCAAAAATGAGTACTCAAACTATTTAGGTGCCTAAAGAATTTTTCGTTAAGAATATGTGACTAATCTATTTTCCGTTATACTTTTAGGTACCTACGCAATAACATTTATTAAAAATCGTTAAATGTCAGTATCATATTTATATTTTTTTAAAAACTTAACAATATTATTAATTTAAAAAACTATTTTTAAATTACAAAAAAAATAACCTGCAACCTTATCTCTCATTTTAACCTCATTATCAATTGTTGTCAGTCATTAGAGGTTGTCTTCGCCATCGTTGAACGATCACTCACCTATCGTCGTACCTCCACTACAACCATATCTTTTTTTTTTGTCGTCTCAATTCCTCTAAATCCATAAATCCATAATTCTAGTGCCCAAATCTCTAATTATAATATCAAATTTATCATTTTCGTCCTAAGTTAACTTTAGGTATTTATGGAGACGATAGAGAGTGGTTCTGAATGCAGTTGGGGAGGGGAAATTGCACAGATGAGAGGGAAACACACTCATCAACAAACCTCTAAATATAATAAATTATTAAAAAATAAAATCATTTCATATTTTATTATTTCTCGTTACTTTAACATTTAAAGTTTTAGTTTTCTGTAATAAGAGTAAAATTGATATAAATTAAAAGATAAATATGTATTAGAACAGAGAAAAAGCCGGGTCTTTTGTAGGTTTATAATTCACTAAATATGAAATTCTATATTAAATTATTTTCCTTAAAAATAAATAATAATAACTTAACCAAAATAGAGAATTTGTTGCTAAATTCATGCGAATGTTTGAGCCCCACACATAGTATTTACTAAATTAAAAATCACAATTTTCAATTTTATTACATTTCAACCTTTATAAATAAAAATAAAATTTAAATATTCTTTTAAAAAAATAAGACTTGAAATGTATCTTTTATTATATAATTTATGGATACAATTAACAACATTAAAGTAAATTTCAACAAAACAGATATAAATGATTTTCTTCATTATTTAATTTAAAAAAACAAAAATATAAAACAAATCCCAAAGGTAAGAGTAGGGATGCACAAAATCGGATTTAAATCCGATCCGGATCGAATAAAAATTGATCCGGTTTTTTCACCTAATCAAAAAATCGGATTTTAAAAAAACCGGTTCGAATTCTAACCTGTTTAGAGGGTCGAATGGTGTAATCGGTTTTGATTTGAAAAAAAAATCAATTTTTTTAAAAAACATGTTTTTAATCCGATAAAAAATTCGCTTCATCCAAATAATCCTTCAAAGCTAATTTTTAAAAACCGGTTTTTTATCCGATTTTTAATCCGATAAAAAATCCAGTCGCCCAATTTTTTCTCAAACCGATTATACTATCCGATTTTAAAATATCCGATTCGATTTAAAAAATCAATTTTTTCCAAATCTGATTTCAATTTTTTTTCTTCACAAAATCGGATATTCCGATTTTTTGTTCACTAGGTTAGAGGGTGGGGAAGGAAAGGAAAGCAGTTGTCGCCGTTCTCCTTTGGAGCCAAAAAATTTTCCCGAGAAAGTGACAGAAAATAATGCTCCAACAAGGCTCAATGGCAGTGTTTTCGAGCTCCACTGAACCGGTTTTTGTTTTCAGGCCATCTCAGTTTCGTTCTCAGCCAGCAACACCTCCCTCATTCGGCTTCTTCTTTAAGTTTGCCGCCGCCGCCAAGACCCGCCACCGTCGCCTCCGACACTCTTCTTCCTCTTCAAAGCTCTCCCTTACCATCCTCGCTTGTTGCGCCTCACGTGACT